AACTAAAAATCAATAAAAACATATTTTTAAAAAAGTTCCTTGTGGCCCTTTCCATTCAAGGCCTTCCTTCCTCCTCCAATTTCAGGCAACCACCAATCTGCTTTCAGTCACTAGCATTTGACTTTTGCAGAATTTAATATTAATGGAATCAAATAGTATATTTTGTATTTGACATGTTTTCATTTGTCATGGGTAATTACCTAGGTTGCTGTGTTGTATGGTAAGTATATGTCTAACTTGATAAGATACTTCCAAATTGGTTTTTATATGGTGTGAAGTATGGATAAAGGTTAAATTCATATGGATTTATAATTGTTCCAGCAATATTTATTTAAAAGCCTATGCTTTGGCTCCATTGAATGTTTTTGCACCTTTTAAAAAATGTGTAGGTCTACTTCTGGACTCTTTTCTCTTCCATTTACCCATGTGTCTACATTTTTTATCAATACTATACTGTTTTGATTACTGTAGCCTTAAAATCAAGTATTGTGAGTCCTGCAACATTGCTCTTCTTTCTTAAAATTGCTTTGGCTAGCACAGTTCCTTTGTCATTCCATATAAATTTTAGAATCAGCTTGTAAATTTTTACAAAAATCATGCTGGGATGTTGTTTGGAGGAAATATACATCTTCACAATATAGTCTCCTAGTCCATGAATATAGAATATCTTTCTGTTTATTTGGTCTTCTTTGTATCCTTTCATCAGTATTTGCTGTTTTCAGTATACAGATTTTGCACATATTTTGGTATATTTATACCTACACAATTCATGCGCTTTTGGTGCTATTGTAAATAGTACTGGATTTTAAATTTCCAATTGTTCATTGCTAGTATTTAGAACTCTAATTAATTTTTGTATATTGAGCTTTAAAATTTTTTTTTTTTTTGCTAAATTCACTAAGTAATCCCATTGATATTTTTGGTAGATTCTTTGGAATTTTGCAAATAGGTAATCATGTCATCTGTGAACAGAGACCATTTTATTTCCTTCTTTCCAAGATCAATTGATTGATTACCTATTGCACAGGATAAAATGTTCAGTTTTTCAGTATTATTATGAATAGGAATAGTGAGAATGAAAATCCCTGTCTTTTTCCTTATATTAGGGGGAAATCACTTGATTTATTATTATTAAATATGTTAGATGTAGGTTTTTTGAGATATTCTTAATCAGGTTGAATAAGTTCTCTTCTAGTCCCAGTTTGATGAGAATCCAATCCTTTAAAAAAAAACAAAACTTTTTTATTGATTTCAGAGAGGATGGGAGAGGGAGAGAGAGATAAAAACATCAATGATGAGATGGAATCATTGATTGGCTGCCTTCTGCACACACCCTCCTCCCCTCCCCATTGGGAATTGAAACTGCAGCCCGAGTATATGCCCTTGATTAGAATCAAACTCAGGACCCTTCAGTCCACAGGCTGATGCTCTATCCACTGAGCAAAACCAGTTAGGGCTCCAATCCTTTAAAAAAAAAAAAAAAACACAAAAAAAACCCCTCACAAAGTAGACATTATTATTAGTAGGAATTTTAGAAAATTGATTTATTTAAACCTACATACATGTTTACTATTTTATTTGTTCACCATTCTTTTGTCATCTTAAAGTGTTTCTTTGGCATTATTTTATTTCTTCCTAAAGTACATCTTTTAGAAGTTCCTTTAGTATAAGCATATGGGTGCTAAATTTTGTAGGTTATATGTAACTGAAAGTATCTTTATTTCACCTTCACTCTTGCAATATAGAATTAATGAGTGCGTGCACAGTTCTAGACTGAAATTATTTTCTTTAATTACTTTGAAGATACAATAAAATCCCCTCATTATAAGATTAATTAAGATGAAAAATTTCAATTGTGCAAAAAGAATAGTGGGCTTATTTAGAAAATTAAAGAAATGAGTCAGCTGAGTGTGTCTAGCTGATTGTTCTAGTGGTCTGACTCTATAATTAAAATCTTTGCTCATCCTGGTTGTGGTTTGGCACCACTTGGTAGTGGCTGTCTGCTTCAAAGTAAATGTCATCTGGTGCCAATTCTGGATCCTGTCTCACGGGCTAGAACTTCCAGAACAGTGGAATCATTTATAGTAATCTAATTAAGTTGGGGCCCATTTAATCAGTCTAATCAAAGGAGACAGGGCTGGAAAAATACTGGCAATAAGGGACTCACCCTCTGCCTCCCTATTTCCTGACATAGGATGCTTAATTTTTCCTCCCTCAGCCTTACCCTTTCCTCTGTGTCCCCTATTCAGAGATAAAAGTGTGTCCCATCCAATTTGAAATGAGGGCCAGATAAAAGGCAGTCAATCACTAATGATTATTGGTGATTAATTACTAGAGGTCTGTTGCAGGAAATTTGTGCGCACTGGGGGGTCCCTCAGCTCGACCTGCACAGAGTGACATCCTTAGCACTGCCGCAGAGATGGGAGAAGCTCCCACCGCCGCCACCGCTGCTGGGCTCCCAGCCATGAGCCTGGCTCAGGACTTCTGGCTGAGCAGCGCTTCCAGCGCACTGACCACCAGCATTGAGCCTCTGCCTCCTGGTGGTCAGTGCTCGTCATAGTGACCAGTCATTCTGCTGTTTAGTTCACTTGCATATTAGCCTTTTATTTTATAGGATAATGCTGGGTCCAAACTTTCATTATAATGGGGCTTAATGCTGGGATGTTATTATATTACTGTTGTCTAGCTTCCATTGTTGCTATTAAAGCATCTACTTTTAGTCTGTTTTGTTGTAGGTTGTCTGTGTTTTTTCTCTCTGGCTGCTTTAAACATTTTTTTTTGGGGGGGTGTTTTTAATTTTATGGCAAGTCTCAGAATAGCTTTTTAAATATATCCTTCTTGTGATATTTTGTGCTTCTTGAATCTGTGCATTCATGTCTTTTCTAAATTCTGTAGAATTCTAAGCATTTAACTTGTGAAATATTGCTTCTCATTTCTTAAAATATCTCCTTGAAATATGATTATTTATATGCCAGATCTTTTAAGTTTAACTTTTATAGTTGTTTGGCATTTCTTTCATATTTTTAACATTCTTATCATTCTGTTTATTCTGGATAATTTTCTTAAAGTTTACAAATTATCTTGTGTCTAATCTGTCAATCTATCCATTGAATGTTTCCATTTCAGCAGATATGTTTTGAGGTTTTAAAAGATATTTTATGTTGATGTTTTTAGAGAGAGAAGGGAGAGGGAAAGCCAGAGAAATATCGATGTGAGTGTGAGAAGGTAACTTTGATCAGCTGCCTCCTACATGCCCCCTTCTGGAGAGGCAACTGGGCACGTGCCCTGGGCACCAGGAATGGAACTGGCAACCTGAGAGAGAAAGAGAGAAAGAGAGAGAGAGAGAGAGAGAGAGAGAGAGAGAGAGAGAGAGATCAATAATGAGAGATAATCATTGATTGTTTGCCTCCTGCACACCCCACATTGGGGATGGAGCCCACAACCCGGGCATATGCCCTGACTGGGAATCAAACTGTGACCTCCTAGTTCATAGATTGATGCTCAACCACTGAGCCATGCCAGCTGGGCAATTTTCATTTTTCTTAAGCATATATCTAGGGGTGGGTTGCTGGATCATGTTGTAACTCTTTGTGTAAACTTTCAAGAAATTACCAGACTGTTTTCCACAGTAGCCGCACAATTTTATATTCTATCCAACAGTATATGAAGGTTTGAATTTATCCATATTTTCCCCAACACTTGTTATGATCTGTATTTTTGGCACTTATATAGTCATCCTAGTGGGTGTGAAGTGGTATCTTACTGTGATTTTGATTTCCTTGAAGACTCACAGTATTGAGCAACTTTTCATGTGTTTTTGGCTATTTGTATACCTTCTTTGAAATAATGCCCATTCAGGATCCTTGCCCATTTTTTACTTGGTTTACTTTTTTATTTTTGGGTTTTAGTATGTCTTTATATATTTAGACACAAGTCTCTTATCAAATAAAAGATTTGCAAATTTTTCCTCCCCTTCTCTGGTCTGTCTTTTCACTTTACTTATGGTATCCTTTAAAACGAAATATTTTTAATTTCGATGCAGTCTATTCTATTAATTTTTCTTTTTTTGCTTGTGTTTTTTTGGTGTCATGGTGAATAAATCGTTATCTAATTCAAGGTGGTGACATTTTACACGTGTTTTCTTTGAAGAGCTTCATAGTTTTGGCTCTTAAGGTTAGGCCTTTGATCCATTTTGAGTTAATTTTTGTGCATGGTATGAGATAAGAATCCAACTTCATTCTTTTAGAGGTGGACATCCACTTATCCTAGTACCATTTGTTGAAAAGACTAACAAACACCCTCCCTCTCTTCCCCCCCTCCCCCCATTGAATGGTCTTAGCACCCTCGCTGAAGATTAAATATCCTAAGTGTGAGTTTATTTCCCCCAGATTGGAATTTTGGAATCTTTACTGTTTTCCAGGCCCAGTCATAAACACAATTCAGTGAAAGGGCACTATTTTTACTCCCGTTTTTCAGATGAAGTTCTCGAGTTAACAGAATGCTTTGCTCAATGGCTACTGAGCAGCACCACCAAGACATCACCTGAGGCCTTCCACCTGGAGAGTTGGAGCTCTGGCGCACGCACGCCATGGGTAACGGTGGGCAATGAGGACTTGGAATTCCTCTGCCGAGTTCATCTAAAACCAAACAGGGGGAGGTCGGATTGGCCACTAACTTGGGGAAAAGCACAAGAGGGTAGGGGCTTGACTCTCATCTGGCTTCGACTGAGAATTAGAAATGCACCTGCCTCCTTCGGGTGAAGCCCTTCCGGGCCAACGTCACAGTGTCCAGTCAAACAGCACGTCGGCCTCTGAGGTTCCCAGGCGGCGCTAACGTGTAGCGGGTCCTGGGCGGAAGGGCACAGAGGTCCAGGCCCCGGCCCGCCCCGCCCGGCCCCGCCCTCGCGGCGTCGGCGCCCTCGGCGCGAGGATGCCCGAGAGGAGGCAACTCTCGCGGGAAGTGACTCTGTTGCCTCGGCAACGGCGTCGAGGCCGCGGAAGATGGCAGGGCGAGGCCGCGGCGGCGGCGTGAGGGTCTGTTCAGCCCCAGCTCCGGGGTGGCGTACAGGCTCGGGGCGGGCTAGGGGACGCCCAACCTCTTCTAACCCTGGGTCTGAACAACATCTCGGTCTGTTTTCCAGAGACGCACCGGGACTCCACTCCCGCCCCGCGGTCCGACGCCTGCGACGCCGCGGCGGGACCTGCTCGCCAAGGAAGAGGAATATAAGTAAGGAACGTGGCGGTTCGGCGTCGCCTTCTTCCTTTCGCCTCAGGGAGGCTGCTTCCAGGACCGTGGCTGGCGATGGAGCGCCGGGACAGCTCACTCACTGCCTGGCATGCTCATCCATCTTTTGAACTTGAGTTCGCCCGCGTCCAACAACGATGTTGGAAGGGAGCGAAATTGTATTCCAGGCAAACACCTGCGTCCATGAGACGGGACTGCTAGACCCGTGGTCGGCAAACTGCGGCCCCAGAACCATAGGCGGCTCCTTGGCCCCTTGAGTGTGGCTCTTCCACAAGATACCACGGCCTGGGCGAGTCTGTTTTGAAGAAATGGCGTTAGAAGAAGTTTACGTTTAAAAAAAATTGGCCCCCAAAGAAATTTCAGTCGTTGCACTGTTGATATTTGGCCCTGTTGACTCGTGAGTTTGCCGACCACTGCACTAGACGCTAGCCAGTGCCACAAATTTATAGTTTAAGGAATTCCATTGAATTCCAGTTTCCTAAGAGTTTACGTGTGTAAATGTCTTTCAGGCTTGGTTTCTAAGCGGAAAGCCTGTTTCCCCGGGGGCATTTGGAATTTTCTTTTCCACATTTTGGTGGATCTGGGAGAAGGATTTCATTTCTTTATCCGATGAACTGTAATGACAAATGATCCTGATAACATGTGTTTTCATTCCCAGGCGATTTCACTCTTCATTCCCCAGTTCTCACACAGATGCCAAGAACAATCTTTTAATTTGGTCGTGTCATTCCCGTCCCTATAGTTTTGCAGTGATTTTATGTTGCTCTTGGACAGCTCTGTCAGATCGGACGCCAGCCTCTTGTTTGCCTACCACACTTCATTCAGCCTAACTGGCCTCCTAGTTCCTCAGCTTTTCCCTCGAGGACAGTCACACGTGTTTCCTACCCGTAAGGCTCGGAGTGGCTGGTCTTCCTTGACCAGGCTAAGTAGGCACCTCTATTCTTCCCTTTTTTCCTTATTGCCTTATTAATTTTTCTTTGCGTTCCCATAAATTCATTTCTTAGTTTACTTTTTGTCTTTCCTCTGCTGGATGATGAGATCCACAAGGTCTGAGACCATGTTTTTATTTACCATTGTATACTAATATACCCTTAAAACATCAACAAATATTATATTTTAACAATTCACTTTCTTTTTTAAGTAACTAATTTGATTTAAAATTTGGAACACATTTTGACAGTTCTTAAACAGTTACCCTGTAGTTTGTACAAAGCATATTTAAATTTAAAACTGACATGTACCCTCTTTAGATGAACAAAACACATACCATTTGCCATAAAGCATGTAGGAACATAATCATCCCTCTCTTTTTGATGGAATGGGCCTGTTATTCCAGTTTCAGAGTGTATTTAAGCAACTGACCTGTTGTCCATATACAATTCAGTTAATTTCATCACTATACACCAGATAGCACTAAATACCTAATTTGATTAGATCAAGTCATTTGTTTATTTAAGGGTATGTTTGCACCTGGCTCTGGCTGTCATTAGGGATATGGTCCAACTTAAAGGCAGACGGTTCTATTTTAGCAAAAGTTGTTTTTTGTTAAAAAAAAAAAAAATTGCCCAGGTCTGTTACCTGTACTCTGCAGTTGCAAATCTGAGTAGTTCCCAAGTTCTGACTAAAGTTCTGCACCACGGAGAAAAGTAAACTGGCCATTATTTTATTATTTTATTTTATTTTATTATTTCTGTGGTAAAATTAGTATACAACATTATATATATATACACACATACACTGAGTGGCCAGGTTATTATGATCTCTAAACACATAATAATCTGGCCACTCAGTGTATATCCTATATAATAAAAGGCTAGTATGCAAATTGTCTCCTCAAACAAGAGTTTGACCTGAAGGGAGGTTGGCCACCTGCCCATGTCCCCTCCTCCTGGCCAGGCTGGCTGGACCCCACCCATGCACAAATTTCATACACCAGGCCTATGTATACTAGAGGCCTGGTGCACAGAATTCGTGCATGGGGTAGTGGGGGGCATCCCTCAGCCCAGCCTGTACCCTCTCCAATCTGGGACCCCTCAATGGGCAATCGGATATCTTTTTCACAATCCAGGACTGCTGGCTCTCAACTGCTCGCCTGCCTGCCTTCCTGATTGCCCCTAGCTGCTTCTGTCTGCCATCCTGATCACATCCTAACCACTCCCATGCCAGCCTGATTGATATTTAACTAACAAACACACACACACACACACACACACACAGAGTGGCCAGATTATTATGCATTCAGAGATCATAATAATCTGGCTATTTAGTGTATATTTCAGGTGTCCCACATTATAATTCAATATAATATATGTTGTATTTATAGATTAACTAGAGGCCCGGTGCAGGAAAATTCATATCCTGGAGGAGTGGTCCCTTAGCCCAGCCTGCCCTCTCTCACAGTCCGGGAGTCCTCAGGGGCAGGAGGTGACCCACCAATCAGGGGAAAGTGATGCCCCCATCACATCTCTGCTGCTGCCACAGCCGGCAGCACAAGCCTTGGCCAGCCCTGGTTACTTGAGCTTGGGCGGTCCTGGGCAGCTGGGCAGTTGCCATCCAAGGTTTGCCTGTGCTTCAGGCTGGCCCTGGGTGGCTGGGGGATTGAGGGGACTGGGTGCCACCATCTTGTGGCTGTGGGCGTCTCCATCTTTGAGGGTGTGGCAGTCAATTAGCATATTCTCTCCTTATTGGCTTTGGGCACTGCTATCTTTGTGAGGGCATGATGGTCAATTAGCATAGTCCCTCTTTATTAGATAGGATTTGCAGGGAACAGATATCTTTATGCTATTGAATCTTTCCTTCCACAAATATGGTACACCTCCAGTTACACATGGGTGTTTGGGTGTCCTTTACTATTATCCTAATATCGATATATAAAAACCCAGTGTCTGTAACAACTGAAGGCTCGACTGACTGGAAGTCAGTCCTGCAGTCAGTTCGGCGACCCAGCAATGACTGCCACTTCTGTAGGCAGAGTGACCCAACACTGACTGCCGAGGTGGCTATGGATCAGACCTGGAGAGAGGCCTGGAGAGAGAAGCAGGATCTGATCTGTAGCCTCCGTGGCAACTGTTGATTAGCCCTTGCACCTCTCTCCCTCTCTTCCTCCCCCTCCCCCACGTCCTCTCCCCCTTCTCCCCCCTCTCCCCCCCTTCTACCCCCCCCCCCTGCCTGGCCAGCAGCCATGCCTCTCTTTTTCTCCAGCCTTGACAGGGGCTGCTGCTAAGCCCTGCCTCTCTGATCAGGCCCAGAGATAAGCCTGGAGATGCTGACTGGCATAGAAACCAACCACTCAGAACCAAATCTGGGTGAACTGTGAGGAGCCAGTGGTTGCCTAGGAGGCAGAGCTTTTGATGCTGACTGGCATAGAAACCAACCAATTAGAACCTAATCTGGGTGAGCTGGGAAGGCAGAAAATACAGGTGGGGCTGAGGAGGTGTTTAAGGGCAACAGCTGTTTGGTATAAAGTATCCATAATATCATTATATCACCTTTTTTTTTTTTTTTTCTACTAGCTGTATTGGTTTCTTAGATATATACTAAAATCAATTATAACCATAATTGAAAAAATAATCTATAATAATAAAAGCTTAATATGCTAATTAGATGATGTCATTCCAGATGTCATTCGGGAGGATGTCCTTCCAGTCAGAGCCGGGCTGGAGGGAAGCTTGGGTCCCAGGTGCCTGCTGGCACCTAGAGCAAAGCCCAGGTCCTGGGTGCCTGCCAGCAGCCAGAGGGAGGGAAGCCGGTGCCGGCAGATGGGGGAAGGAAGGCATACTCTAGCATGAGTTTTGTGCATTGGGCCTCTAGTCCTATATAATAAAAGGGCAATATGTAAATAGACTGAACGGCAGAACGACCTGTCACTGTGACGTGCATTGACCACCACAGGGCAGATGGTCAATGCAGTCGCTACTCTCTGGTGGTTAATTCGCTCACACAGAGGGAGTGTCACTCGGCCACAAGATGGGCTTACCGCTGGCAAGTGCAGGAACCTGCCTCCATGGCAGTGCTGAGGGTGTCCAAGGATGTCCCAGTATGGTTAAGCTGTCAGTCAGACAACCCCCGAGGGCTCCCAGACTGCAAAAGGGTGCAGGTCGGGCTGGACCCACCACCCCCAGAATGCACAAATGTCATGTGCCTCTAGTTATTCTTATAAGCATGTCCATTTTTGTTTGGGGGATATATTATTAAATCCTCTAGATGAATTATTTCTTTCAATAGTACATCATGTCTGTCATATTTCTTTTCATTCCTTTATATTCAAACTTTTTATGTCATTTAGCTTTAAGAGTAGTAGTATTCTTTTTATATCATGTCTGATAATTTCTGCCTTCTAATAAGTGAATTTATTTTGCTTATTAACTTGAAGTTGTTTTGGCTATCTTATTTTGTTTTTTCGTATTTACAATGCCTTTTCCTTTAGTTCTTATGACTTCTGTTGTATTGAATGAGTTTATATTGTCTTCACTTTTCTTTTACTGGTGTGGAAAGACCTTAGACTGATTTAACTTATTTTTTTTTTCCTGTCTGTTAAGTTAGATATTGGATTATACTTTCCTTCCTCTTTGTTTGAATACCCTTCTCTATTATTTTTATAGTCTTTACTAATTTAGATTTATCATTGCTTTCTAATTTCTTGTTATGATTTTTTTCAAGTTCAGATTTCTTCTTCCTGAAGTGTAGACCCTTCATTACTTGTCTCTGTGAAAATTTGAGTCTTAAATTCTCCGTTCTTTTCTGAAATTTTTCTTTCTTTGCGCTTAAAGACAGTTTAGCTAAACATAGAATTCTAGATGGTCTAATTTTTCCACTCCACAGTTTAAAGAATATTTTCTTGGTCTTTGAAGTTCTGCAGTGTCACTATGATGTATACAGGTGCGGATTTGTTTTCTTAATTCTGCTTGAGATCCATATTTCTTCACTTCTGGAAAATTCTCAGCATTATCTCTTCAAATATTGACATTCCCTCCTTTTCTGGGATTTCCTTCTGCACTTTCTATTAGGTAGATATAAATCTGTCTTTGTCATGCTGTCTGTCTTTAGTGAATGTTAATCTCTCTTTTGTATTATCTTTCTGTTTCTCTGTACTTCCTTTTAGGTGATTTCCTCATATCTGTCTTCTAGTTCATTTATTCCCTCTTCAGTGCATTCTGTCATCCAACTTATCCATTGAGTTTTTAATTTCAATGACTGTGTTTTCAGTTTTGTAATTTCTGTTTGGTTCTTTTCCATATTCAGTGTTCTTTTGTAATGTCTAGTTCTTGCCAGATGGTTTCTATTCTTTGTTTTTTTTGAAAAAAAGAAAAATGTTTATTTAATTGTTTTATTTTCTTCAGTTCTTACACATTTTTTTTTTTAATATCTGCTGATTTTTCCTCTTGGTGACTTGGTTCTTTATGTAATTTTGTTATCTTTTTTAATTCATCTTTAGCAGGATTTACTTTCTGAGAGAGTTCTTTAAGTTGTCAATGAGTAAATGTCCCTAAAGATGGTTTTGCATTTAGTTTAGAGTTTTCACTGGTTCTAGGCCAACTTTCTATATTATAGTTTTGGCATAGAGTCTCTATACCATCTTGGTAAGAAAAACTTGGACCACATTCCTGTATGCTCTTACTACTCACAAGAGATTCTTTTCCACCAATGGCTATAGTTTCATTTCTGTTCACCTAAGGTTATGGGTAGTGTTGTTGTTTGTGTTTAGTAGGTGCAGCTCTCCATGACTCCCACATGTGCATCATTTTTTAGCTGTTAAGCTATTTTGTCTTCTGTCCTTGTTCATTGCTCTCACTTTTAGTTGCTGCTTTATTTTTGGTGCCAGTTTGTTTTCCTTGCCTGAGCCAAACAAGCTTTTTTTTTTTTTTTTTTTTTTTTGAATATATTTTATTGATTTTTAAATTTTTTTTAATTTATATTTTTTATTGATTTTGTACAGAGAGGAAGGGAGAGAGAGAGTTAGAAACATTGATGAGAGAGTCATCGATCAGCTGCCTCTTGCACACCCCCTACTGGGGATATGCCTGCAACCAAGGTACATGTTTTTGACCGGAATCAAACCTGGGACCCTTCAGTTCCCAAGCCAACGCTCTATCCATTGAGCCAAACTGGTTAGGGCCAAACAAGCTTTTTTAAAAGTGAAAATAAAAGGGACTTTAACAATAGGAATAGATTAATATATACATTATGTTAACTTCAACTTATTAAGGTATTTCATATTCATTTAAGGCACTAATTATAAAGATATAAACATATTTCTTCTGTTTGTTATGGGAAAACATAGTGCAAAATTGTGTATATACAATAGATGAAAAATACAAATACAAATAGAATAAAATTGTCACAGCAACGCCGGAGGCCAAAGTAGGTTTCTCTCCTACCCTGCCCACCTCTGTCCCCAGTTGGAGTTCATCTCAAGATGATGAACAGTGGCATTGAGTTGAACCCACCAGTTTATTCTTTCAAAATAAGACATTACACTTGAAGTGAGGGCCAGAGAGAAGACAAGAGTTACACTGTTTGAATTTCTACCATAAAAGGGAATCATGGGGAGTTGGAGATAAGTGTTTAGTCATTTTGTTAATTCTAGAATAAAAAGTCATGTTTGTTTTGGAATTTGTTGGTTAGTTAAAGTATAGTTACTGAAATTTAATTATTTTTATTTTTGTTAGAATCTTCAATATATTCCAATTAACAAATTATTTTCTACTTTTAGGCGTTTAAATGCAGAATTGGAGGCAAAAACAGCTGATCTCGTTCGACAAGCTGAGGAAGCAATAGTAAGTAAATGTTAGTAGTAATTCCATGTAAGTGCTAGTTTTTTTTTTTTAATTTGATTTATAACGTGCATAAAAAAAGTACCCAAATTTTAAGTTCAATGAATTATGACAAATTGAACATGAATATATGCATAGGTAGGTAGGTGTGTGTATATATGCATGCATGTGATTTTTGTAAGCATATATTTTCTAAAAGCCACTGAAAGTGTTTTCCATTTAGATGACCAATCATAAGAATATTAATATTTAATAAATTTCCCCACTATTTTAAGATTAATAGAATAGCTATGTAGAATTAACACTGGTAATTCTGTAAGGAAGGAAATAAAATTGTCTCTGGGCAAAAGTTGGATAAAGGATAACAATCATTAGATGATAATTTACTTCTTATTCGGATGTAATTTGTTTCTTAAATTCTGAGGATGCGATTAACTTATATTCTTAGGGATAGACCATATCAGATTTATAGTTAGGAAAATGTAGTGAGGTTATAACACTAGACAAAGTAAGCATATTTTACCCTATTCTGGGTACCAATTGGTTATTTCTGCTTTAAGCATCCATCCTTATGCATCAGCATCCCTATTATGTAATGATAGTATGTAGTAGCATTCCTTAGAGCCATGGTCGGCAAACTGCGGCTGGCGAGCCACATGTGGCTCTTTGGCCCCTTGAGTGGCTCTTCCACAACATACTACTGCCTGGATGAGTCTATTTCGAAGAAGTGGCGTTAGAAGAAGTTTAAGTTTAAAAAAATTGGCTCTCAAAAGAATTTCAATTGTTGTACTGTTGATATTTGGCTCTGTTGACTAATGAGTTTGCCGACCACTGCCTTAGAGGAATAAAGTGGCTGCTTTAAAAATAACTTTTTTTTTTATAGTTCTTACTCTAATTATAATTCTTTCTTTTAAACCCCACCCTCCACCCCACTTTGGAGTTGATAGGTGCAGGAAAGAAGAGGTGATATTTTATTTTAAGGCCTTATACATATCCATCATTATTTGTTAAGAGTAGAATAAGAAACTTAATTTATATATATATATATAGTTTCAGGTAATACATTTTTATAATGGATGCATATTTGCTAGTTGCATTTGTAACTAAATATTTATTTAAAAAGAAATGTTTTTATTACATTTTTTAGTTTTGCCAGTGTCTGAAGAGTCAGAAAATGGTTGAAAAAGAAATCCAAAGTTATGGTAGAATGGGGGATTCATTATGTTCTGCTTCATGAGCCCTCTAATAAGGATCTTGTAATTTATTTATTTTAAAGAAGAGTAGAGTAGAAAACTGGGAAGGGGTGGGAAAGAGGAAAGGGCATTCCTGCCCCCACAGAAACTGATAGATATAATTATTGTCACATTAGATGTTTGTTTGCTCACTTTTACTTCTTGATATATCTTTGCCAAAAGACTTTACTCTTAGTGCTTCTGTTTTAGCCTTTTCATGATATTCTTAACATTGAAGTTCTTTGTTATTTGCAACAAGTTTTTCTACCCATCTAATGGATTTATGTTTCCATTTCTTGTGAGTATAATTTCCTTTGCATATTACACAAAATGGAAGATTCTAATGTAGTGTGGGAGCAGGAGTCGAATAAGATCATATAAAGGCATTGATACACTAACATTTTCCCCTTAGAATTGACTTGCTTAACCCAGAATGGATGAAAGGTGAAACTCCATTGTTACAGACCTTATTTTCATACCATGTTCTTTAGAATTCTGTGCCTCAATTTTTGTGGAAGCTGTGGACAAATCTGAAATGTTTAATAAAAAAAGGAATTAAATAAATTCTATTTTAGTTCATTTCCCCCCCTATGTCACTTATCTTTACTCATTTAACTAGAGAGATCAGCAAGAAGTACGATCTCAGCCTATTTCAACACAAATTAAATCGTATGAAGATGAGGGTGATTACAGTTTAAGGTAAGTGACTTAAATTCTTAAACACCTTTTTAAAAACTGAGTAACTGCTTTAAGGTTGTTTTTACTTTTAAGATCTAATCAACATATAACTTATTAGTTTCAGGTGTACAGCAATTATTTGATATTTGTGTATTGTGAAGTAGTCATCATAATGAGTCTAGTTAACAACCATCATATATCTGGCTACAGAATTTTTTTGTTATAACGAGAACTTTGAAGATCTACTTTCTTAGCAACTTTCAAATAATACAGTACAATATTATTTACTACTAGAGGCCCAGTGCATGAAAATTCATGCACTGGAAGAGGGGTCACTCAGCCTAGCCTGCGCCCTCTCACAGTCCAGGATCCCTTGGGTGGGAGTTGACCTGGTAATCAGGGGAGGTGATGCCCCCATCACACCTTCGTTGCTGCCACTGCCGGAAGCAAAAGCTTCAGCTGGCCCTGGTTACCTGAGCCTCAGGTGACCCTGGGCAGCTGGGCAGCTGCCATCTGAGGCTTGCCTGTGCCTTGGGCCGGCCCTCAGTAGCTGGGGGCTGAGAGGCCTGGGAGACTCTGAAGACAGGTACACAGTGGGGATAAAGGGACTGGGTGCCACCATCTTTGAGGGCATGGCAGTCGATTAGCATATTCCCTCCTTATTGGCTGTGGGTGCTGCCATCTTTGTGACAGTGTGAGGGTCAATTAGCATAGTCCCTCTTTATTAGATAGAATATTCATGCTGTGCATTACATTCCCATGACTTATTTATTTTATAACTGAAATTTTGTATCTTTTGATTCCCTTCACCCATTTCCCCCCACACACACACACATACACCTACTCCCAGTCCTCAGCCTCTGACAACTATCAGTCTGTTCTCTGTATCTGTGAGTTGTTTTTTGTTTGTTTTTTTCAGTTCCACATATACATGAGATCATACAATATTTTTCTTTTTATGTCTAACTTATTCACTTAATGTAATCCATCCATGATACGGCAAATGGGTCTTCCTAATGACAGAATAATACCGCAGTTTCTTTATTCATTTATCTGACAATGGACATTCAGGTTGTTTCCACATCTGGGCTATTGTAAATAACATTGCAGTGAACATACATCTTTTTGGGTGTGTTTTTGTTTTCTTCAGATAAATACCCAGAAGTCAAATTGCTGGATCATAAGATACCCGTGTTTCCTTGAAAATAAGACCTAGCGCATGGAAAGATAAGACATCCCCTGAAAATAAGACCTAGCGCAACTTTGGGAGAAAAAATTAATATAAGACATTGTCTTATTTTCGGGGAAACGGTAGTTCTTTTTTCAGTTTTTTTGAGGAACCTCTATGCTGTTTTCCATAGTGGCCACACCAGTTTGCATTCCAACCAACAATGCACAAGGATCCCTTTTCTCCACATCCTCACCATCATTTATAACCATTCTAACAATTGTGAAGTGCTATCTCATTGTGGTTTTGATTTTCATTTCCTTTAGAATTAATATGTTGAGTACCTTTTCATGTACCTATTGGCCATCTGTATGTCTTCTTTGGAAAATGTTTGTTCAGCTCCTCTGCCCATTTTTTAGTTGAACTATACTGCTTTATCCTTGCTTTGAAATTAAACTGTTTTGGACTTCAAAAATTGAGATAGAATTTAGAAAATCTTTGAGGAACAAAAGCCTATTATAGCCTAACTTGAGGTAAAGATTAGACTAAAAGTGTAGTTTTCACAATTATGGGTAACATTTTTCCAGTGGTTCTTCAGGGCAAAGATCATATTAAATGGCACCTAGTAAAAATTTCTAATTGGATAAAATGCCTCAGGGCAAAGATTTAACTATAGTTTTAGTCTCTCCATAGAAGCCTGACAACCTCAAAACACCCATTTTTAAATTGGAGTGGGGAGAAGAAGAGAGAGGGAGAGGTGGGGGAGGTGGTCAGGGTAAAGAAAAACAGTCTTAGAAAGCATTGTGGGTGTGTTAATGGCACATGAAACTGATTGGAACCAAGTAAGTAAGAAATTCACTGGTTTTTGAGAGTTATACCAGCAAAGAAACTTTGAGTGATGAACCTAAACTATTACTGTTTAAATCTTAAAGTAGCTATCTGTCCTCCCATTCTTCTAAGATAAAGAAGCAGACTATGAGAGTTGCACAGCCCTAATCTAGGATATAGTATTTAAACACCTTAGAGAACTTAGAAACAAAAAAAGAACTGTATTTAAGCGACAGTATGTTTGGCTATAATTGAAATATTGGGACATTACTCAGGTACTCAAAAATAATTATTGCATATGACCCAGAAATTCCCCTCTAGATATTTAACCAAAAGAACTGAAGACACATTTCCAAGCAAAAACTTGTGTGCAAATGTTTATAGCAGTTTTATTCATAATTGCCAAAACCTGGGAACAACTCAGTATCCTCAAGTGGAGAATGGATAAAAAAAATGATGGTATACCCATGCAATGGAATATTACTTGACAATAATAATGAACTACTGATACTCTAGTAATATAGATGCTAAGTGGAACAAGCCTGACCAAAAAATGTATAGATTGTATGAATCCATTTATTTGATATTCTGGAAAGTAGTCATATGGGGCTCGGTGGAAGGGGAAGATTAATTACAAAGGGGCACAAGAGAATTTTTTGTGGTGATGGAAGTATTTTTTATCTTGGTTGTTGTATGCTTACATGTCCACATAAATTTGTTCAAATGTATAGAACTATATGCCTAAAAAAGGTGTATTTTACTCTATGTAAATTATATCTTAATAAACTTGAAAAAAATAAATTTTGGACATCATGAATGCCAGGTCTAGTTATAGTGGTACAGTAGTGAGTAAACAAACCAGGTTCTGCTTCCAAGGAGTTAATGCCTAGTGTGTTGCTTTTTAATTAAACAAATTTTCTATAAAAATTTTTTACAACATCATTAGATGCCATGAAACTGCTTATCCTTATTACATGTAATGCTTTGATATTTTGTGGAAAATGATGTTTAATAGTAGTCAGAATTCCAAACTGTAGATTACTAATAAGATTGGGCAAGGCTTTTATTTGGTAAACTGGTTTCTGTTGAAGCAAGTGAGAGAATTTCATAAGCATAAAAATAAATCTGTTGATTTTCTTTCACTAAATTTTCCTTAAGTGCAGAATAGTGATGACACCTCTGTTTATCTAGTTCAGGTGGCTTTCAAAAAAATTACTTTGGATGGCGTTTACCACATGAACGAAACATGGCACTAGACTATTAGTAGGGAATCACTGATTATAGGAGAAAATTAATCCTGTAAAGAAAGTCTATTTCAACTTGGAACAATGATAATTTAGCTAAATTATTATAGTCAGGCATATATCCTATATAATATATGTAATAATATAAAGTATAATATGCAAATCGACCGAATGGCCAAACAATGGGATGACCATCTGGACGACCATCCAGGACTACATTATGACATCGACTGGTACCAGCCAGCCAGTGTGGGTTCAATGGATCTATTACCAGCACCCCATGATTGCCCTGCAGAAAGGGAGGCTCAGGCCACTGACCGGCAGGCTGTGGCTGGTGGGTGAGGCCTTCCTCTGCGAGGGAAGCCCAGGTCCCAGGTGCCGGCAGCCAGAGGGAAACCTGGGTCCCAGATGTGGAGGAAAGCTGGTGCCAACAGCCGGGGGAAGGAAGGCCTACTCTTATATGAATTTCGTGTATCAGGCCTCTAGTATTATAATAAATCTTCAGCATCCAAGGTTACTCTGCCAACCTGTGTGCTAGGGAAACCAGAATTTATTTCCTAAAAGTATAGCGTACATACAGTCTGCTGGAAGCAAAGTTTACTACACAAATCATTTCAATTATATTACACACAAACCTTTCCTAGAGATATTTAACAAAAATAATCAGAATGCCACAATTTTTAATTCATTTTTTATGGAAATAATGCTAGCAAAGTAATAGTGCTTTGCTAAAACTGATTGAGACAGATAAATGTCTTTTTGCTGATATGTATTTGTATGTGGTGAGGAATCGGGAGGTGGAAGATGAAACAATATAAAGAAATGACAAATAATTTAAAATGAGAGTGGTTAAAGAGGACACTTAAAGTTTATATAGAATTTGGAACCATTTTTTTGTCATATGTCAGAATGATTTTTATTTTTTTGATTGATTTTAGAAATAGAGGAAGGAAGAGACAGAGGAAAGGCATCGATTTATTGTTCTATAATTAGTTCAATTGTTGGCATCTGATGGAAAGTAATTGTGCTTTTATGTCCTCTTATGGGATATGATGGAATTTTTCCTCTTAATTTTTCATGGCAGAGTGGTAGGTTTTCTGAAATACTAAAACGTATTGGAAATGATCTGGAAATTGATCAGGCAAACTTTTCCAATGAACAGTCAGATTAATATTTTTGTATCTGGATTATACAGCCTTTGTCACAACTATTCGACTTTGCTGTTATAGTGTGAAAACATCTATAAATAATGTATAAATGAATAGACATGGGTGGATTCAACCTCTGGGCTATAGTTTGCAGAGCCTCATAAACACTAATTGTTTTAAACTACAAATATATTTTGAACTATGTATAATGCCAGGTGGGTACTAGACTTATTGGGGAAATCACTTATATAAATTTATATACACTATAATGTACACATGAAACTAATTACCTAATAAAAGAGTAACATGCTAGTTGACCATACCTTCAGTGCCCACCAGCCAATCAGGTGTGAGTATGCAAATTAACCAAAGATGGTGGTTTAATTTGCATACACAGGCACGCCGAGTGAACTGGGTTGGGGCTGACAGCAGGTATGCGTGGCGGCTCCAGTGCCAGCTGCGGGTGTGAACAGAGCCAGCACCAGCAGTGGGTGCGAGCGGTGGTTCCGGTGTTGGCAGCGGGGTGAGCAGGGCCATAGCTGGCAGTGGGTGCAAGAGGTGGCTGCCGTCCCCAGTCACCCTCAGGAGCAAGGGGAGGTGGAGAAGCCCTGAGGGGTGATCAGAGCTGGCAGCTGCCACTTTCACCAACTGATGGTGCTGAGCGATTGGGGCTGGCAATAGCAGGTGTGAGCAGTGGCTCCTGTGCCAGTAGTGGGTATGAGTCGTGTGGGCACCAGCAGCAGGTGTGAGTGTCAGGTGGGACCACAGCATGCGGGAGCAAAGAATTTTCAGTAACCACCAGAGGCTCATCCCAGTGACAGTGACCAGCACCCCACCTTGGTCTGATGCCCCACTCACCTGTTCCACCATCCCACTGTGGCTGATGCCCGCCATGTTCTGTGCTCTGCCGCCTGGTGGTCAGCACACGTCATAGCGACTGTTCGGTGGTTCTGCCATTTGGTCTATTTGCATATTAGGGTGATAGATAGATAGATAGGTATTGAATGTTAATTGTAACTGGAAAAAATTACAAATATATTTTTAAAATTTTGTGCATAAAGGTAAATCATATTTTAAATATACTTTATTATACAGTTAACAAATATTTAGTGCCAATTTAAAAGCTTATATGCCATATACTATGCCAAGTATTGGGCACAGAGCAGTGAACAATGCACACATGATTACTATCATCATGAAGTTTACAATGTAAAGGGGAAAACAGACACTGACCAAGTATTTAAATACATTAGGCAAATGATAACATTGAGTTGGTGCACAATAAAAAAACTCTGTGGTGAATCATTTTGTAAAATAGATAATCTCCATGTATAACCAATAATCACAACTTATTATTTGTCAGTTATTAAGATTTGTGCTGTATTTTCCTTTAAAAATTGGCACTATAATATATTTTATCAAAGGGAAATTATTTCATTTTAGTTATTTTTATTTTTCAGTTACAGTTGACACACAACATTATAAACATTAGTTTCAAATGTACATCCCAGGATTATACCTTCTAAAACTTACTAAGTGATTATCTGATATATTTGTAACCATCTGACACCATAAATAATTATTAGAATACTAGAGGCCTGGTGCAGAATTCGTGCACAGGTGGGGTCCGCTGGCCTGCCACGATCTGGCTGATCTGGCTGATCTGGCTGATCTGACTGGTCGCTGGGGGAGGGCACCTGGGAGGTTGGCCAGCTGGTCCCACCCCTGATTAGGGTGAAGTTGGCCAATCAGGGGCAGGGCTGGTCAGGGGGAGCAATTGCAGGCGGTTGGTGGGCCAGCTCTGCCCCCTGGTTGAACTTCTGGTTGAACTCCCAGTCGAGGGGACAATTTGTATATTAGGCTTTTATTATATAGGATTATTGACTGTATTCCCTATGCTGTATTTTGCATCCCCAAGACTATTCTGTAACAACCAATTTGTACTTCTTAGTCTGTCTTTTCCCCCCCTTGTGCCCAGCTTCCCCTACCCCCAAGTCTGGTAACTGTAAAATGTTCTCTGTATTATGAGTCTTTCTATTTTGTTTGTTTATTTTGTTTTTTAGATTCAGTTGTTGATATGTATTTATTGCCATTTAATATTGTTCATATTTTTTTTCTTAAGAAAGACCTTTAACATTTCATGTAATATGGTTTGGTGGTAGTGAACACCTTTAGCTTTTTCTTATCTGTGATTCTCTTTATATGTTCTTTGATTTTAAATGTTAGCTTTGCTGGGTAGAGTAATCTTGGTCGTAGATCCTTGCTATTTATCACTTTGAATATTTCTTTCCCATCCCTTCTGGGCAGCAAAGGTTCTGTTGAGAAGTCAGCTGACAGATGTATGGAAGCTTCCTTATAGGTAGTTAACTGCTTTTAAGATTCTTTATCTTTCATCTTTGCATTTTAATTCTGATGTGTCTTAGTGTGGGCCTCTTTGAGTTCAACTTTGGGACTCTGTGATTTCTGGACTTGTATGTCTGTTTCCTTCACCAGATTAGGGAAGTTTTCTGTCTTTTTATTCTTCAAATAGGTTTTCAATTTCTTTTCTGTCTCTTCTAATTTTGGCACCCCCATGATTCCAATGTTGGTACATTGAAGTTGTCCCAGAGGTTCCTTTACTTTTTTGGTTTTTTTCCTTTTTGCTGTTCTAATTGGGGGTTTTTGCTGCCTTATAGTCCTCTACTTCATCCACTGTACTGGTGATTCCCTGTAATATAGTCTTCATTTCAGATACTCTATATTCTTCATTTCTGTGTTTTTTTGTTTTTGTTTTTTAATTTTCTATCTTTGTTTTTGTTTCCTATCTCTTCTTTCTGAGTTCTCACTAAATTATTTGAGCATACTTATAATCAGTGTGTTGAACTCTGTATCTGATATGTTGTCTCCATTTTGTTGAGTTCTTTTTCTGATGGGCTGTTCTGTTTTTCATTTGAGACATGTTTCTTTGTTTCTTCATGTTTGCTGCCTCTCTGTGTTTGTTTCTATGTATTAGATAGATCTCCTGTTTCCCAGGCTTGGTAGAGTGACCTTATGTAGTAGATGTCCTGTAGGGTCCAGTGGCATAGCCTATCCATTCACTTGAGCTGGGCACTCCAGGTGTAGACCCCGTGTGGGCTGTGTACACCCTTCTGTTGTAGTTGAGCCTTGATTGCTATTGGCATCTCAATGGGCGGGAGCTATCCCCAGGCCAGGTGGCTGCAGGAACTGGCTGTGACTACCAACCACCATGGAGAAAGCTGTCCACCCACAGAGAAGGATTTACTTGAGTATGTCACTTGTGGAGGTGGTTGGGCGATGCTTCAATATGGTCTGAAGATGTTTACTGGGTGCACTGGCTCTGAGGCCTCCTGGGAGGTGCTGGCCAAGGTCATTTGCTGCCTGTGTTCTGCCTGGGGCCAGCTGGCTTGAGCTACAAAGCAGTCTGCAGATGGCTGCTACTTGTGCTGGGTTTGGAGATGCCCTTATAAGGCCAACCTGTGAACCAAGGCCAGCTGCTGCTTGGTCTGGGCCTGGGGTCTTTTAGCTAGAGCAGTGTTTCCCAAACTTCTCTCATGATGAGAATACCCTGGTGGAGTTGTTAAAATACAGATTCCTGAATCCCAACTAAGAAGTGCTAAATTGGAATTTTTGGGAACATAATAGGTAAAATTGTATACGTTCCCAAAAATTCTAGTTTAGCACTTCTTAGTTGGGATTCAGGAATCTGTATTTTAACAACTCCACCAGGTGATTCTCATCATGAGAGAAGTTTGGGAAACACTGAGCTAGAGGGATGGGGTACACTCAGGCCAGATGTTGCTTGTTAGAGATATTTAATGAAAGTCTGAAGCATGAGCCACAATAGGCCATTTGTATGGGAAACCTACTGGAAACAGCTTGGATAGGCTCACAAGTTTGGGATACAGGGTTTCAGGGAATCACCAGGGCAGGGTGAACAGTGTGACTTTTGAGACTCAGATAAGGCACTCACTTGCTGGCTCTATGGCAGGGGTTTCCGAAAAGGAACAGTGGCCTCTGTCAACACTTAAACATTTTTTTTTTAAATTTATGGATTGATTTTAGCCGGGGAGAGAGAGAATGAGAGAGAGAAAGAAACATCAGTTTGTTGATCCACTTATTTATGCACCCATTGGTTGATTCTTATACTGGTGTGTGCCCTGGGGATGGAACCTGCAGCCTTGGTAAATCAGACATCATCTAAGCACTGAGCTACCCAGCCAGGGCTCTGTCAGCACTTTTATCTGACAGAAAGCTGTCCACTCACAGCTTTCCCCTTGATGCCACACAATCCAGTTCCTCCCTGTATGCCCCTGGTTCCTTTCATTCTGTTGCTGGACCTCAGAGAGAGTGAACCCACAACCTGGGCATGTTCATGTACTAGGAATCAAGTCAGCAATTTTTAGGTTCATGGGACGATGCCCAGCTAACTGAGCCACACTGGCCAGAGATTCTTATTGGTTTTTATAGCCATAAGCTACGTAGACTTCTCTTCTTGGCGCTGGAACCCTGGTTTGGGGGGACCTGTTGTGGGGCTGGGACCCCTCACTCCTCAGGAAGAATCTTCACAGCTGAGATAGCCCTCCCAGTTTTTATCACTACATGTAGGTGTGAGAACAGCCCATTCCACATCTCCGCTCCCCACCTGCTAGTTTCGATGAGGCTTCTTTAAATTTGATGAGGACATACATTCAGCTAGATTTCAGGTGGTTCTGAATGATGGTTATTCTGTAGTTTAGTTGTAATTTTGATGTGGTTGTGGAAGAATTCACGCACAGTATTTTTAAGGTGATTTATTCAACCAAACCACTTTTCTTGTTTGTGACATTCATGTTAAATAAATTAACGCATGCATACCTAAAATTATAGCCAAATCTATTTGATATATATTTTTTCCTTTCAATTATAGTTGCTGTTGAATTTTATTGGGTCTCAGCTTAATATCATCTATTTATTAATGTATGTTTATTTTTGGTCTCTAGCGGTCTATTATCTGAAGGGACAGTTCCCCTATATTCAGAAACTCAGGTATGAAATCAAACTTTTTGTGAATATAATTACATTCTGTAAAATTTAGGAGTATTTTTTAGACTTTTCTTAGACAAAAGAGAGAAGGGTTATAACAGAATATAAGCTTGACACTCCGAAGAAATGTATTCATGAAATTTTTCTCATAAAATAAATGAAATCCATTTTTGTCTCATAATTTCACTGAACAATTTGGAGCTACAATGGAAAAACTTCTAAGTGAAATGAGTCTGTACCCTAGTGTATTTTAGTTTTCTCTCTGAAGTCCAAATTTATAGATAGAAAACCTGAAAAAGAAAAACATTTATATACAAAGAGTATATTTTTAAAAGATTTATTCAGTCATTTAAATATTTACATGTAGGAATCACTATTGTAGGTGCTAAGCTTATTGTGGACTATACATTCCATCCATGGGGATGTAGGTCTAAGTAATAGTATACATCAAGCATGTCAAATTTGAGACCAGCCTCAAGTTTGGTGTTCTTGGTATACATGAAAGACATCTGGGGAATAATCAGTAAGGGGAACTAAATTCTGTAAGTCAGAACATTCAGTTTAATGTTCGACCCACTAGCTGAATATCTTTGAATCTTTGGGACTCATTTTCCTTGTCTTGGAATCTCTTGGTCCTAATATCATCTAGGTCTTTTCTAGCTATAGAATTCTGGAATGTTTTTTAAAAAAATACAGTTTGATTCATTTCATGAAAATAGTAATTATTTTATGTAGCAAACCAACAAGTCTAGATTACTTACTTTAGCACATAATTAGAATTTTAACTAATCAAGTATTTAAATTTTTTTCATATAGCCAAAGAGCAAAAATGTTGATACAGTAAACAAGGTTAAAAAAAAGCTACACTTTGCAAATAAAGGAAAGAAAACAAATTCAAGGTATAGTACAATTTTAAAGGTATACTTTCCCCCTAAATTTTATAATTTACAATAGTATCATTCTTTTAAAAAATATTTTTTATTGATTTTAGAAAGAGGAAGGGACAGGGAGAGAGAAAGAGAAACATCTACACTGAGAGAATAATTGATTGGCTGCCTTCTGCACAGTCCTAAATGGTGATAGAGCCTGCATGCAACCTGGGCATGTGCCCTTGAGTGGGAATCAAACTGTGACCTCTTAGTTCATAGGTCAATGCATAACCACTGAGCTATAATGGTCAGGACATTCTTAATTATTAAGTGTTTTGTTTTTCCAGATCTTTTTTTTTTTTTTTTTTTTTTACCACAAAATATACAAAATTACACTATATGTATCTATCCACATTCAGTAATTTAAAACATTTTCTATTCAGAAATATCTTGCAGCAGTTAATTTTTTTATTTTCTTAGAACTGTGACTAGAACATAGATGTTATTTCCTGCCTACTTCTCTCAAGTAAACTACATTGTATATACTTTTTGAGTATTTAACAGGACACCATACCTCACTGTATTTATTGAGACAGATGATTTGACTTGCTCTTAGACTATAATGTAATTTGCATTCTGTTGTTTTTGATGAAAAATAATTCAAGACTGTTCTCAGTATTTTGCATATTAAAAATGGGGCCCACGAACCTCTTTGGGTTGGAGACTTTCTAGAAAAGGAGGGTCATACCTGCCGAGGGTTGTACCAATCAGCTTCTTATCCATATTATTAAATTTATATGTCTATTACTTAACTAAACTCCTAATTTTGGAAAAATGCTTGTTAATTCTGTCTTTTAACTGGCTAACCAACCTTTTTGTTTTTCTCAATAAAAGAAAAAGTAGAGTGAAAGGATAGGAAGAAAAATCTAAAAATTGATTAATTGAAGAAGAGAGAACACATACTATATACTGGAAAGGTTATCTTATTTTTAGACTTCATGTTTACTTTTATAAAGAAAAGGTTGCTTTTCAGAATAAAATTCAGAAGCCTTTGCTTATGTATCAAAAGTAAATCTAACTTTTTGGTTGACTTTGATCCTGGTTACAATGTGTTTTTGTAGGTTGAAAAAATGTTGAGTTTGAGCTAAGAAGTGTTTACTCTGTAATTTTTTCTCGGGGTATTAGTTTTTAGTGTTGGCAGAATTATGGCTAGAGTGCTACCTCTGCCCTGGCCCCGCCACCATGGTTTTGTCCTGAAGGTCTCCCAGTCTAATTAACATATTACCCTTTATTAGTATAGATGTTCACTGTTGGGAGGCAATGTTTAAAATAAACAGGCCTAACAAAGCCTTCTCTAGCTCTGTGGTTGTGTAAACCATAAAGACAGAAAGTCTACTAAGACTCTTATAGTCCTTGAAAATATCAATTCTAGATTTCATCATAAACTTAAAATTTATTATAATTTTAATATGCTTTGTTATTTGGATAAAAGTCATTTAGGGATCGGATATATAAAGTATGTGTAATGTATACTTACATATGTAATTTTATTATTTAGTATGAAGTTGAAATACTCTGATGTACCAACTGCCAATGACGTTGCCATTCCAGAGGATTTCTCAGACTTTTCTCTTGCAAAAACAATTAGCAAAATTGAAGGGCAACTGGAAGAAGGAGGCTTACCTGATTACATAGATGATGATATTTTTTGTGGTGCTAGTAAAGACATTGGAACAGGTAAGTTTTCTTTTTTTATAGCAACGTTACTTAGAAAAAGATATTTAGGAACTTTTTTGCATTTTTAAATGTATTGTGATGTATTTGTTTCAAAATCATCTAGTGGGATATGATGGTGGAAGGAATGAGTTGGATTGTAACTGAAGTAATTGGTTACGAGTCAGTTATTATGAAATGGATCATGGCTAAGTAACCCCTTCTTTGATCATATAAAGATATTTATGGTATTGGTATTGGTATTAGTTTCATTGACCACTCTTAAACTAAGGTTAAAATGTCCCAAAACTAATCCTTAAAACATTAAAATAAAATAAAAATAAACACACACAACACATGATTCTTTGAATTTTTTCATTTACCATTACTATATTCTGCTTATTGCATATTAAATAAACACATGCAAAAAGAATTATAGATGTAGCATCAGGTAAAAGGATCAAATGAGTTTTCTAACCAATATAATTTTCTTTCTTATAAACTCATTTTCATCAGACCACTAGAAACATAATACTTCTAAGTTTAGATCATCTAAAGACATTGTTAGTTTCCAGTAATGTCTCTAAAATTATGTTGAATTTGTGAGGAGTCACTATTGCTATTGTAAACAAAAAGTAAAACAGTTCAGTGTATATGTACATAGTTAATGCTGAACTATAATTAATTGTGAGTTCAGACAAGTCACTTAGCCCCTCTATAATAGCGATATATTAGTTTTGAAATTTAGCATTTTGTATTAGATTATTATAAACTTTATCTTTAAAATTATCTGATTCTGTGAAAACCACGATAATTGTATGTATGATTGTTGTGCTGCATGCTAGTCAGTCATAAGTGAGGAGCAATATATTTATGCATTTACTATATTTATTGACCTATCCAAGCTTTCTGGGGCTAGTTGACAAGAAGGAAGTTAAATGAAGCAGGACGTTGCCTTTGTGTCTGTTAAGATGCTTTCACAGACACAGTGGTCAGATGTTAGCTGTACCTCAGCACACAGTGAGCATGGCCCTGTTACAGCATTTCTCGTCCCTGATACAGGAACCAGCACAAACTGCTTTTTCTAATTGTTCAATTGCCCTCTGCAACTTTACTCTCTTTTTGAGAATTTTTGCCCTAGCTCTCCCCTTTAATTCTTTAAAAAAAAAAATAATATATATATATAGATATAGATAGATAGATAGATAGATATATGTATCTAGATAGATAGATAGATAGATAGATAGATAGATAGATAGATAGATAGATAGATAGATATATTCTCCTAGAAAGGGAGAGAGGTTTAGAGAGTTATCATAGAAACATCGATGAGAGAGAAACATCGATCAGCTGTCTCCTGCACAGCCCTAATGGGGATGTGCCTGCAACCCAGGTACATGCCTTTGATTAGAATCAAACCTTGTGGACCTTTCAGTCCACAAGCAGACGCTCCATCCACTGAGCCAAACTGGTTAGGGCTCCCCTTTTCTTATTTTATTCCAGATGATTGCCTGTGGTTACCTGGGGGAGGAAAGATCAAAAAGTAGTTTAGCAGCACATATTGTTTTGTAAGACTAATAGTTGGAGTGGGATAGAAAGGTTAGTGCTGAGCATCTAAAGTTGGGGAGAGAAAGAGATGGTAGGAACAAAGTCATGCTCTCCCATTCTTTTTTCTTTTCTCCTAGAAACCAACTACTGCAAACATCACACTTTTTAATTTATCATTCCCTTCTATTCCTGCTAGCCTGATATTTATGAGAGGCTAGAAAGAGAGTTGAGGCTAGAGAGATCTAGGTGGGTTAGAGCCAACCGCAGCTCATCAGCTCTATGGTGACACTGGGACCGTAATAAGAACTTTGGAACAGAAAGTGTGTACGCACACTTACGCTTGAGGTTCAGATTCTCAGGAGTGCTTTGGTCCTCCCCCTTCCCCCCTTTCTTAACTTGGTCCCACTGAAATGTGAGCAGTTTTGTTTTTGTTGTTGGATTTAAGTTATCTTTAAATTAGGAGTATTTACTCTTCTTAAACAGGGATCTCCTGTTAGATTCCCATCTTGAACATGTTTGTTCTTTCATAATATAATGGTCTGTCTTACAATTGATGTTTTAGATTCAGTGAAAGGCAATAAATATAATTATTTAAATCCACAGAAGCACAGATCAGATTTCTGAAGGCCAAACTCCGTGTTATGCAGCAGGAACTGGATAATGTTGTATGTGAATGCAATAGAAAGGTTAGTTTTTAAAAGCTCTCAAAATGTACATGCTCTAATATTAAGACATTTTAGGAGTAACAAATTATATTTTTAAATTAGCATCATTGAGATATAATTCAATTAAATTTTGAATTAAAAAATTATATGTAAACACTGAACTCCATTCTAAGATGTGGAATTTTCAGAGCTAAAGAATTTTAAATACTTGTTAGCAATTAGAATTCCTTATATTAGACTTAAAAGTGTAAGCTATTAAGCACAAATAAAATATGTGACTTTCATTTTTTAAGCTGAAAAATCAAAGATCACATGAAGTTCCTTTTTGTTTCTACTTTATATTTTAAAATAATGTTCATTTTTATATACCAAATCATGTGCATTTTTTTCACATAATCTATAATTTCATAACTATAGGAGGATGAAATTGAGGATTTAAAGTCTCAAGTAAAAAATTTTGAGGAAGATTGTGTAAGACAGCAGCGAACAATTAATTTGCAACAGTCTCAAACAGAAAAATACAAAACTCTTTTCGAAGAAGCAAACAAAAAATGTGATGGATTACAGCAACAGCTGTCTTCAGTAGAAAGGGTAATTATTTTGTTATTTTTCTTAACCTAAAACCAAAGATGCACTAAAATACTATAATTGCACATTGGGATAGACACCACTTTCGGTTGTTTAGTTATTTTATCAGTGTTGACTAAAAACTCCTCTTCCGTATATAGGAGAGTATTTTTTTAAATAGATTTATTGAGATATAGTTCACCTACAGTACATTGCACCCTTTTAAAGTTTACAATTCAGCAGCTTTTAGTGTATTCAAAGAGTTGTGCAACTACCACCACTTACCAACGTTAGAACATGTTATCACTCCAAAAGACACCCAGACCCTTTTGCCAAGTTCCCCATCCCTCTTCTTCCAAACCCTTCCAGCCCTAGGTAACTTCTAATCTACTTTTAGTCTCAATAGATTTGACTATTCTGGACATTTCATATATATAACATCATGCAGTGCGTGCTATTTTGAGACTGACATCTTCAGCTTAACATGTTTTCAAGGTTTATCCACACTGTAGCACATACCATTACTTCAATACTTTTCATGGAGTATATAGTTGTAACACATTTATCTGTGTATCAGTTGATAGACATTTGGTTTGTTTCCAATTTTTGTGAATAATGCTGCTATGAACATTAATGTACAGGTTTTTGTGTGGACATGCTTTCATTTCTCTTGGGTATATACCTAGGAATGGAATTGCTGAGTCATAGATTAACCCTTTATTTAACTTTTGAGGAACTGCCAGTTGCTTTCCAAACCAGCTATACAATTTTTACATTTCCACCAACAGTGTATAAGGGTTCCAACTTCTCTCTATATTTTTTCCCAGTTTTTTATTTTTTTTTAATTGTTTAAAGTATTACATAATAGTGGTACATATATCTCCTTCCCCCCCACCCCCCTTGTCGCTTGCCCTCATCCCACCTCTCCATTGTCTTAGGTCTATTGGTTGTGCTTATATGCATGTATACACATCCTTTGGTTGATCTCTTCCTCCCCCCTTGTCAAATATTAATTGGGCATAGTGGTTTGGGTCGATATCTGGGTTCTCTATATTATTCCATTGGTTTATATGTCTGTTCTTGTGCCAGTACCAGGCGTTCTTAAAAATTAATTAATTTATTCATTTAAAATATGTGTCCTTAATCCCCCATTGCCCCCCACACCCCACTAATGCCTCACCCTGCTGTTATCTGTGTTCATTGATTAGGCTCATATCGATGCACACAAGTCCCTTGGTTGATCTCTGCCCCTTACTCCCATCGACCCCCACCTTCCCTAAGGTTTGATGTTCTGATTGATGTTTCTCAGCCTCTATATCTGTTCTTATTCATCAGTTTATCTCGTTCATTATATTCTACATATGCATGAGATCATGTGATGTTTATTTTTCTCTGCCTAGTTTATTTCACTTAGCATAATGCTCTCCATCTCCATCCATGTTGTTGCAAATGGTAGGAACTCCTTCTTTTATACCACAGCGTAGTATTCCATTGTGTAGATGTACCAAAATTTTTAACCCACTCATCTGCTGATGGGCACTTAGATTTGATGTTTTCAAATCTTAGCTATGATGAATTGTGCAGCTATGAACATAGGGGTGCATATATCCTTTCTGATTGATGTTTCTAGTTTCTTGGGATATATTCCTAGAAGTAGATTCACGGGTCAAATGGCAGTTCCATTTTTAGTTTTTTGAGGAAAATCCATACTGTTCTTCACAGTGGCTGCACCAGTCTGCATTCCCACCAGTAGTGTAGAAGGGTTCCTTTTTCTCCATATTCTTGCCAGTTCTTGTCTGTTGTTGATTTCTCAAGATTGCTGCAGCTACCTGGGGTCTTGTTTTTTATTCCATATGAATTTTTGGAGACTGTTTTAGGTTTGTGAAATATGCCATTGGTATTTTTTAAAAATATATTTTATTGATTTTTTACAGAGAGGAAGGGAGAGAGCTAGAAATGTCAATGAGAGAGAAACATCGACCAGCTGCCTCCTGCATACCCCCTACTGGGGATGTGCCCACAACCAATGCCCTTGCCCGGAATCGAACCCGGGACCTTTCAGTCCACAGACCGATGCTCTACCACTGAGCCAAACCGGTTTTGGTGCCATTGCTATTTTAATGAGGATTGCATTGACTCTTTAGATGGCTTTGGGTAGTATGAACATTTTAATGATGTTGATTCTACCAATCCATGAACATGATATATTCTTCTATTTGTTTATGTCTTCCTCTATCTCTTTTACATCCTTAGTTAAGTTTATTCCTAGATATCTTAATTTTTTAACAAGGTAAATGGTTTGTTTTGTTTTTTTGTGTGTGTTTTTTAATCTTGATTTTTAAGTGACCCCACTTTTAATAACTTATCACTGTTTGATATATGTATTGGTACCTCAGCTTTTTTTTTTTTTTTTTTTTTTGGTTTCATAAAATTTTTCTCTAGCATTATGAAAACTGCTTAATTTTTTGTGACTGTAGATTTACTTTATATTGAGTAACTAGAGGCCCGCTGCACAGAGATTCGTGCAATAGGCCTTCCTTCCCTTGGCTTCCAGCACCAGTTTTCCTCCAGCATCAGGGACCCAGGCCTTCACTTTGGCCAGAGTCTGCCATCTTCGTCTTCGCTGCAGACTCCCGTGTCTGCAGTCTTGTCTTCGCTGCAGCACTCTGCTCCTGTAGATCCTTCGACCCCACTCCTCACCTACCCTCCTCCTTCCCTCTCATAGCAGGCATTCTGCCCCATCTGGCCACTCTGTGTCTGGAGCAGCTGGTGGCTGCCATATTTGGCCTTCTAATTTGCATACTCACTCTGATTGGCTGTGGGCATAGCACAGCTATGATCAATTTACATGTTTGTCTATTATTAGGTGAGATTTCAGGATACAAGCTCTCTCATAACTGTATTGGTATCCTGTCTGCACTTTGTAAAAAGTACTTGAAATGATTGAAAAATGTTTTCAAGTTCTTAATAAGGTTTTTCCTTTCTATAATGGATTTACTTATATAGGAAAACTTTATTTCCTACTTTACTATTCTTCTGATATACTTTTTCTTTTTCACTTCAAGAAAGGGAGTGGGCAGTATTGAATCAGGGTTAGGGAGGACATAATGGGGTGAAGGATGGTTTTCATTTTTCTGTGAAGTAGGTTACAAAGTCACCAAGAATTATGGACTTTATTGCTAACAAGAGAATCTTTGCCTTTTCTATGTGAATAGTGAGATAAATCAGGCTTGTTCTTAGTGTAAGCTGCCACCAGAAAGCTGTGAAGGCGGCTGGTGATAGCAGATGGTATCCATACACAGTTTGATTTGTTTAGAAACCTACATAAAGAGCAGCATGTGTTTTGTTTTCCCTGTAATTACTTGGAACCAGGGAGATCAGTTTTCAAATACAGCATAGTGATACAGCCAGGAGAAAAACTTACAAAACAGATAACTTTATTTTTAACTCCCTCATTTCAGTTCCATATTTATTAAGTATGTTCTTTGAAAAAGGCTCTGTACTAGGCACTGCAGGTGATACAAAGAAGATTGAGTGCAAGTGATACAAAGAAGATCGAGTGAAGTAGTTAAAGATAAAATCCATTCAACTATCATGTCATTAGTGCCTATTATATGCCACCAAAGTTCTGGGAATATAGAAATTAGGACAGTTTCTATCCTCAAGGAGCTTACCCTATAATGGGGGAACAAACAAAATGGATAGATTCAGTTTCATACAACAGGAACTATAAAGTATGTATATCAAGAGCTATTGGAATTCTGAAGAACGTGTACTAATCTATCCTGGGAGCATAGTGAGGTAAGTCTTCAGGGAGAAGGTAAAACCATAGTGTATAGCCCTGGCTGTCTTAAAGGGGAGTATGTGCTAGCCAGGAAAAAATGAAGAGTAGGGAGGGATCAGGGAAGAAGGAAGAGCATGAGCAAAGGCTCAGAGGCAAGAAACGTCATGATGGTTTGAGAGATAGCCAAGTTCTTTTGATATAGCCAAAGTTAACATCTGTGGCATGAAATGAGATTATGTGGAGTTTGCAGTTTATCCTATATGTTCATGTTTCTCTTTGTGTGGCCTACAGATTCTCTGCAACAGCAACTCTTAGAATATTTGCAGAAATGCAGGTCTAAACAAACCCACCCTGATAGGTGGGAAATAACCCCTAACAACTGTTATTTTTGCATAGAATTGGGATTTCCCTGTAAGGTTAATGTAGAACGCTCTGTATTTAACAATTATTTTTTTAAAATGTTTGTCAGGTTTACACGAACAGTATTTATGAGTTTGTGCCTTACATTTGGTGTGTTGAGTTGTTCCCAAAGGAATAACTGTAGTTATAAAAAGTTATTTGTAAAATAGAGGGCATGACTACTGTATCTTGAGATCAATAAAAATAGGCAGAAAATTCCAAACAAAAAATAATCTGAAAGCTTAATTTGCAGTTATATCTTTAAAGATGTATTTTTCTAATAACAATTCAGACCTCTGTCACTCAGTGTTCAGCCCCGAGTGGTGGCAGGTGTGTAAAATTTTGAAGAAAGCAAGGAATATGAAATGGAAAATATTGCAGATTAATAGAGGGAACTTACTATATATTTATAAATGTTCAATTCCTTTTCTTTTTTTCTATACAGGAATTAGAAAATAAAAGAAGACTACAAAAACAAGCGGCCACTACTCAAAGTGCCAAAGAGGTTCGCTTGAATAGGGCTCTAGAAGAAGCAGAAAAATATAAATTGGAGCTAAGTAAATTAAGACAGAATAACAAGGTATGGAAACATGGAAAGGTTTCAGTAGTGATCAACTTTGATAGCTTCCTCTTTTATGCAAGAGTCAAAATTAAATAGTTTTTAAATTATAATTCTTATTGTCATGGAAAACATTTCTCTTTTGAGAAATACACTTAATATATACATCTTCAGTAAGAATTACATTGCTTAGGCAATTGCTGTAATTGAGTGATAGCACAACTCTTTGGAGGTTCTTTCACTATTTTCATCCAACAAATCTCTATTTTGTGCCCATATAATATGCCAGACACTTTTATAATTTTGGGATAAATGACGAAGAAAAGTCTCTTTCTCGTTTGTTGTATCCTTCTTTGAGTCTCAATTTTCTAGTATATAATACAAGGGGCTCTAGTATATTTTACAGGTCACTGATTCACCTGGAGGGCTCATTAAAATATAGATTGCTGGGCCCCAGCCCAGAGTTTCTCTTTCAGTAAATCTGGGGGAAGGCCTGAGAGTGTGCCACTTTAACAGATTCCCAGGTGATGCTGATGCCACTGGGTCTGAGACAACATTTTGATAACCACTGTTACAGAGTTATTGTGAGAATCACCTTGGTATTCCCAGTATCTAACAAATGATTGCCATAGAATTACCATTTAATTCCTAAAATATCTGCTGAATAAATGAAGGCTCAAATATTGATGTGTTTGAAAACATTTTGTACACTATAAAATATTAGCTATAGTTTTTGGTTCTGTGTCAAGCAGAGTGGAGTTGCTCTATTGAAATCTCTTCGAATAATATTTAACAACTAGAAGCTCGATGCACAAAATTCATGCACGGGTGGGGTGCACCCTCTCGATTCTGATATCCCTCTCACAATCCAGAACTGCTGGCTCCCAACTGCTCACCTGCCTGCCTTCCTGATTCCCCCTAACTGCTTCTGCCTGCCTGCCTGCCTGATTATCCCCTAATCACTCCCCTGCCAGCCTGATCGACGCTCAACTGCTTCCCGGCCAGCCCGATTGCCCCTAACTGCCTTTGCCTGCTGTCCTTGTCACCCTAACTGTCCTCCTCTACAAGCCTGGTCGCCCCCAACTGCCCTCTCCTGCTGGCCAAGTCACCTCTAATTGCCCTCCCCTGTTGGCCTGGTCAGCCCTAACTGCCCTCCCTTGGCAGCCTATCACCCCTAACTGCCTGCCCTGTGGTCTTGTCACCCCCAATTGTCCTCCCCTGCAGTCCTGATCCCCCCAACTGTCCTCCCTTGTAGGCTTGGCCTCCCTATCTGCCCTCCCCTGTAGGCATGGTCCCTCCCAATGGTCCTTTCCTGCAGACCTGGCCCCACCTCCCAACTGCCCTCCTCTGATGGCCTATTTCCTCCTAACTTCCCTCCCTTGCAGGCCTGACTCCCCTCCAACAGCCCCTTACTACAGGCCTGGTCCCCCCAACTGCCTTCTCCTACTGAGTTGGTCTCTCCCAACTGACCTCCTCTGCTGGCCCGGTTATCCCTAACTACCCTCCCAAAAACTATAGCTAATAGCCCACAACTGCCTTCTCCTGCTGACCTGGTCTCCCCCAACTGCCCTCCCTTATTGCTTGATTGCTCACAACTCTGCTCCTCTGCAGGCCAGGGTCCCCATCAACTGCCCTCCCCTGCATGCCTGATTCCCCCTCCCCCAACTTCCCTCCCTGCAGGCCTTGTTCCCCCCAACTGCTCTTCCCTACAGGCCCGCCCCTCCCCCCCACTGTCCTCCTCTAGAGTCCCCCCCACCCCCCAACTACCCTTCATGCAGGCCTGCCCCCTCCCCCCCCTCACGGCAACTACCCTCCCCTGCAGGCCTGGGTATCCCCAACTGCCCTTCTCTACTGGCCTGGTCACCTCCAACTGCCCTCCCCTGCAGGCCATCTTGTGTCCACATGGGGGCAGCCATATTTGACTACATGGGCGTGGCCATCTTATGTTTTAAAGTAATGGTCAATTTGCATATTACTCTTTTATTAGATAGGATAATGTCCTTCTTTGTCTTATAACTGTTTTGCCTGATATTATTAGAGCCACACCTATTTTCTTTTGGTTACTATTTCCCTGGAATATCTTTTTGCAGTCTTTCATTTTCAATCTATGTATGTCTTTAGATTGAAAGTGAATCTCTTGTAGACAGCATATATTATAGTTGGTCTTATTTTTTTTAACCCATTCTTCTAGTATACAGGGAATTGTAATTCATTTATATTTCACATTATTACTAACAGGGAAGAACTTCCTGTTGCCATTTTATTTTCCTATATGTCTTAAAGCTTTCTTATCTTTTAAATGTCTTGATTCCCTAAGTCTTGGCCCTTCTTCTTCTCCTCGGTGCCTTAGATGTATTTTATTCCTCTGCCGTAATCTCTTGCTCCTGGGCACCTGTGGTTCTGCATATCCCCTGCAGTCCTCACGTCCAGCAGCCCCCAACCTAATATTCACACCATGCCACCATTCCATGAGGTGAGACGAAACAGTCCCTAAGGCAGCCCTCATATAATATAAGTCAAAACATCAAACCAAGTTCTGTTCTTATTCTTTCCCAAGGGAGGAGCTGGGAATTGAGAGGCTTCTTTCACTGTGCTGGGGAGGGTGAGGTGAACATAAATGCAGTGACATTTCCTAGTATTTTGAATGTGGTTCTTGCTTGGTTGCTGCTGCTTACTTGGCTTCTAGAGTCCTCACAATGCTCCAGTAATGTGTGTGCTGTACAGTCAGTGTTTCCATGGGAGTTCTTTGGGAGAACAAGTGCCCTGGAATTTTCTACTCTGCCATCTTGCTGACATCACTCTCTATTTTTTTTTAAATGTTTTTAAAGTCATATTTACTATTTTACCACATTACTATTGCTGTTACTTGTTTTATCCTTATGTGTATGTAGATTCAGATTTCCTTTTGGTGTCATTTTCCTTTTGCATGAAAGACTTCAACTTTTTAAGTACAGCAGGCCAAATAATGTAATTTCATTCAATGTTATTTTGTTTAATGTTGATGACATGCCATAGGAACTTGTTTGTATTGAAATTGATTTCATTATACATAGTTTCTCTGACATTAAGTAAAATAATCTACAATGCTAAGTGAGGACTTACTATATAACATCTTCCAGTACTTAGAAACTTCTAACCTGTCTCAGTTGTCATAGACAGTGGCTGCACATGGTTATTTAGTTGTCTGCCAAGGATTAGAGGCAAATATATATGCAGATTTTGAGGACTCCATTCTTTCCAAGATTTCCAACACATAAGACTGGTATTTCTGACTTGAGTTCTATCCCCAATGAACACATGAACTGGAAAGTGCTCTCAACCAATATGCTTCCATTTTTTTTCAAGGTTCCTACCACCTCCACTTTGCTATTGATTACTCACCTACATCTTCAAATATTTTTAAAATTGTGACCAGAATTTATATCTGCTAATATCTGGAGAATTGATTCAATACAAGCTACTTTACTATTACTGGAATATAACTGAGTTGTTATTTCAAAAACATTTTTTTAAATGTGAGAGACTTGAACATCATTAAAAGTTATCAAAGTTACAGTAATTTAGTAATGCAAAGAAAACTACCAAAAATTTTATATTTCAGTTCATTATAGTTTTTATAATTTTTTTTCTATTAAAAGACTGAAAGAAGTATATATGGAACTATTTTTTTTCTTTTGTAGGATATAGCAAGTGAAGAACACAAAAAAATTGAAGCATTAAAATCAGAAAACAAGAAGCTAGAAAAACAAAAAGGAGAATTAATGATGGGGTTCAAGAAACAATTAAAATTAATTGATGTTTTAAAAAGGCAGAAGGTGAGTGTACCCTAAAAAGAAAACCCATAGATATTATTTGGAACTCCTTCCTAAAATATTTACAAGTATTTGTACTTCAGGTATTTTTTTTTTTCCACATGCTTAGGCCCAAAAGTTTATATAAGATTTATTTGTCATCCAAGAAAGTGGACATTTTTGTGCAAGTAAATTAGTAATGTGGAAAATGGGCCTGGTAAATACTGAATGGGTACTTCCTAAATAAAGAATGTACAATACACAAGAATAACTTTTCTTAGGGGATTGTATTGCCTCTTGAAGAGTGAAAATTGATTCCATATCACTATTGTTCCATGAGTCACCTGGTAGTGAGAAGATAAGAATTCGTGGTTCTGCCTCTTTTCCTTTTTGCAAAGGTTAGGTTAAGGTATTAAACTATTACTGAATTGTCTTCCAACAGTTAACTGGTACAATACCACCATTGGACAAATAGGCTTTTACAGGCTGACTCTTGAATGTAATTACTGTTTCATATATCACGTTTATTGGAATTAACAGATCACCCCCCTACAGTGCTTATAATTTGACAGCACTTGACACACACTTTTAACAAACTTCCTGTTGTTGTGTGGTTTATTCTTAAACTAAAGTAAACGACTTCATATTAATTTTCTTTTAAAACACAGATGCATATTGAAGCTGCCAAGATGCTGTCTTTCACTGAAGAGGAATTTATGAAGGCACTTGATTGGGAAAAATCTTAAGTGGAGTATTTTAGTTAGTGTTTATAACTAAGTGTGTGATGGATATACATTTTATTTAGCTTAAGTTATAATGGTTTGAATTATTTTTACTCTTAAAACAGAATTTCTTTCAGATAAGCTTATTTATTAAGTTATTGACAAATAAAACACTTTGAAATTCCTCACCCTTTATTTTTCTCCTCCTTTATAGTAGACAGAAAAGAATGCTTTACTTACACTAAAAATGAATGTTTAAAAAACATACTTATAGTTTGCTAAAGCTGCATAAGAACCACAGACTTGATGGCTTAAACAACAGAAACTGTCTCACAGTTCCGGAAGTTTGAGGGCTATCTGCTCCCACATGCTCAGAAAAAGGTGCTTTAAACTCCAATTAATCATATATAATAAAGAGGTTATATGCAAATTGACTATCACTTCAACATACAAGATGGCTGCCCCCATGTGGACACAAGATGGCCAGCAGGGAGAGGGCAGTTGGGAGGGACAAGGCCTGCAACGGAGGACAGTTGGGGGCATCAGGCCTGCAGGGGAGGGCAGTTCGGGGGGACCAGACATGCAGAGGAGGGCAGTTAGAGATGACCGGGTTAGCAGGGGAGGGTTGTTAGGGGTGACCAGGCCTGCAGGGGAGAATAGTTAGGGGTGACCAGGCCTGCAAGGGAGGGCAATTAAGGGTGACAATGCCGGCAAGGGAGTGGTTAGGGGGTGATCAGGCTGGCAGGCAGGCAGGCAGGCAACTGGTTGGGAGCCAACAGTCCTGGACTGTAAGAGGGTTCCCACATTGGAAAGGGTACAGGCTGGGCTGAGGGACAGTCTCCCTCTCCCCTCCACCCCCCCTTGCATGAATTTCATGCACCGGGCCTCTGGTTATACATCCTTTTTTCCCTGGTCAAATAAGGCAAGTAAAGTTCCCAAACACAAACATAGACAGAACTGTAGCCTGAATAGGGATGCAGAAAAAATTCTGAACAGTATGGGAAAGGTAGTGTAGTGTCTATATTATTACATGGAATGTAATAATGTGGTGGTGTAGAACTCAGCTATTCAGATTTCAACACAAAAACAGCAGTTAATTTTGCAGTTGAAAGTATTTAATCATTTTAATTTTTATCAGAAAATAAATGTTTTTTTATAGAGAACCACTTACAAATGATGAAATGAAGATGTTTTAGAAAATTCAAATAGACAAGATTCCTACTATCACTGAACTGTAAAACAAGACTTACACTGACATCTAGTGGCAACATGTAAAAGAATCCAGGTTTTACCAAATCTTGGTATCACTTTTCTTCACAAGTTTCACTCCTTTTCTGATATGCTTTCCTAAACTCTTCACCAAGCATATGAATATCATCCTCTGTTTTGAATACTCCCTACAAGAAAAATATTTGTGGGTTACTTTGAATACCAGAATATTTCCCCAAATGCTTGTAAGACTATCAAATAGAATTGAAATTTGCAGTTGTTTCTAAGATAATTAAATCTCTTTAGTAGAGTTAAAAAAAATGGTTTTTTTCTTTGATATACATACTGAATATTCTCAGACTGACCAGACTTCCTGATTTATCAGTTCCATTGTTGGAACTTGTCAAAAGAATCATCTATTTTATAAGTACTACTACTTGGATTGGCTGAATGGGAAGGAATTTATTGCATACTGTATGCTACCCTGTCTTGAAACAGACCTAAAATATGATTATGAGGGGTCAGGATGAAAAGTTCGAGTTTTAACAGATTCATGCATGAGACTGGCTCTAGCTTCAGTTCTATGGGTAATCAGCAAACATTCAATCTCACAGGAAAGAATGAATCCAGGTTTAGAGTTTAGCCATTTGAATAAACCTTTGAAATTCTTTTGTTTTCTCTTATAGTAAGAGGTGGCTCTTTAAAACAAATTGAACTTAAGTATTTACTTATAGTTAAAGGATCCAAAGAATAATTTAGGTCTTTTGAACCATTAGGACCTAAAGGATAAAAAGTTATTTTAGACTATCAGGTTCATTAGATTCTCCTCATTTTCATAATTATTTTCCTAAAAAAATATCTAACTTCCAAGACTCTCCCAGAATTTGCAGTCTATTTCACAGAATTTATCAATTCCATGTGGCTTTTGTCATTAATATATCATTTTGTATTCATTAATCCTATCTAAACAATTAGACTATACAGTCTTGAGGGCAGGCAATAATTATTCAGGTTTCTCTTTCTCCTTCTTTAATTTGCGTTGGGCTAAATATAAAATATGCACTTGATTCGTCCAATTGACTAAAATATCAAATGGCAATATACACGAGTCTATATGTCTATATATGGCCTGTGAAATCTTAGTCACCCTGTATCTCAGATGTATTGTGAAATTTGTTATCTTCTGGAAGTTTTTTTAAAAGTAGGTTACTAGTACCTAGTGATAATACAATCTCCTACTATAGAGCAGATCTGTCATAGATTCCTTTCAAGCATGTGCCTGCCACTGATATTACTGATTACAAAACTTTCCTGTTGCAAAATATCACAATTGCTTTATATTAGTTTAGTTTTAGAACACCTACACTGAACGGTGAGAGAAGAATCTCTAAACCTTAATTTCAATACATTTCACTCATACTTCTAAAAATGTGCCAAGACTATCTCTCATTTTGGAGATGTTCAATGAGTGGCTAAAATCTCTGCTGCTTGGTAACAGCAAAAAGTGAGCGAAACCCAGGACCTCTGTAATCCTAATACATGTTTGTTTGTTTTTTTCCCCACCAGTAGATGCCATGAGGATTACACTTTGAGTTAAATCTCACTTACTTTAGGGAGATATCCTAGTAATTTTGTAGCATGTTCTTGGAGAAGTTTTAGTCTTTCTTCTTCAATAATTGCATTAATACGTCTTTGACTACTTTGCTGCAACTGCCATTCTTCCAGTTCCTGTTGCTGGAAATATAAATAAAATTTTATTGTCACATAATACCTTAATCTTAAAGAAGTTGTCAAAACTACTCTTGCAGTGAATTAGATAAAAGTGATGAACTACTTATTGAGATTAATTCCAAAAGATACTAGATGATGTACCAGGGTGGGAGAAAAGTAGGTTTATAGTTCATATGGAAAATGATACGGCAATTAATACATAATATAAGAATTGTATTTTGTGTATTCACAACTGTAAAATACTTTTGCCCCACCCTAAATGTGTATCATATATGTTTTATATACATACCTTTTACAGTAATTATGCCTTAAAAGTTATAAGAACAATACAAGGTAGAGCAAAAGTAGGTTTAGAGTTGATATAGGAAATACAATAATAAATGATACATGAATAAACTTTCACATACAACTGTAAGCCTTCTTTTGCCCTACTTTATGGTTATGCCTGGGATTTTAGGAGGCAAGTACATATTTTCAGGACAATGTCTTAATTGCCAAGGAGGAAATGTTCAAAGTGATTTCCTAATTAATTCAAATATTTGGCAGATGCTTAAGGTAGTTTACAGTATCTGACAAAAATAATGGATACAACACAATAGGGATATCTAAAAAAAATATTTCCATATATTAAATTTTTAAAAGCCTGTATGAAATACAAAAATAGCATCAAGAGTTCTGAATCCTCAACCACACCAACATTTTGTGCCATATGATGTGGAAGATATGACTAGCTTTAAAAAGTTTTAGGGCTTAAAAGAACTCTTAAGGAAATGTATCCAAAAAATCCTGTTGACAGGGAAAGATGTTAAAAGGCAATATTGAAATAGTGATGAATTCCTACCAAGAATTAATTTAGTTAAAGTAGGATTTGAAAAGGGGATAAAATAGGGTTAAGTAAAGTATCTCATTAATGCAAAGCTTTTCTTTGAAATAACTAGTTTACAAGGGTCACTATTTCTTCGGACCACTCCTTGTCAGAGTCATGGAAACAAGAAAGAAAAAAAATTATATCATATATTGCTGGAAACAAATCAGTTTTCACTAAAAGAGAGATGTTGACAGAAAGCCAGGAAGGCTAGTCAACAACCTTAATTGCTCTAGCCACTCACCCTTTAGTTGAGACATTGTTAGCTGAAGCAGCCTCCACCTTGTTTGTCCCAGGTAAGTTTCTGTTATTTCCTGCCTAAGATATTTCCCCCAAAGCCTCAATAAAAGGGATGGCAGGGCCAGAGCAGTGGTAGTTCTCCCACTAGAGTTGGACTACCACCTGGCCCCCCATATCGCCAAGTTGAATTTCTTCAAGTTTTTTCATTTGTGTGCGAACCTTCTCCAGAACTTGATCCCTGAATTGGAACCCTTTCCACGTGGGACGTGAAAGAGATTCCTATAATATATGATTCAGAGCTATCATCTGGCACATAAAAGGTTCTCGGTTAACTATTTACTGAATGAATACATGAGCTGATTGCAGTTAAATAATGACCAAAAACCCACCCCCCAAAAAACCTTTTTTTCTTACTTTGTCTGCAAGGAACTGATTGCGACGATCTTCAATAAGTTTCTCCACAGCCCTCCTGTGTTCTAGTTGCTTCATTCTTTGTTTGTGAGCATTCATTAATTCTATCCGATCATCCTCAGCAAATTTAGCTAACATAGCTTTCCTAAATTCCTCCTCTTCCTCTTTTGCAGCCTGTTGTACTAGTTCCTTCAAGGCCATTTGTTCTATAAAATTTTGCTTTAACTCCTTTTGCTTTCTCAACTTCTCTTCTGCTTCTTCCTAAAAACATTTATATATAGAAGTTAATTCAATAACTTTCTTTAAAGCAGATTTGTAAAGAAAAGGGTAGAATAGTTTAAGCTTATTGTTACAATGTGAAATAAAATTGAGAAATTAAGCCTTTTCAAGATAACACTTTGCCGTTTTAATACCATTTGGATAAAGGGCATGTTACGTTTTGAATTGCCTTCTTGTTTTTAAATTTTAATTTGTTACTTGTTTTTAAATTTTAATTTGTATATATTTACCATCAGAATTAACACATAACTACTTTGAAAAGAGCTGATATAAAAACTTTTTGCTCACCCAAGTTTATTAAATCTGTGTTGTGTGAAATTTGTACCATGAATCATTCTAGAATTTTGCATGAAATTATTGTTAAAATCATTGATAAATGCTTTTCAGAACAATAATCTAGCAATGACAATCTGGGAAGAGTTAAAAAGTCCTTTTCTATAAACTTTAATTTTTCTAGCATTTTCTTATGAAAAATTTCAAACATAACCAAAGAAATATTTAGAATTTTATAGTGATCACTCACATACCTTACACCTGGGTTCTACTAATAATTGCTTTATCACTTTATTCAGTTAGGACTAATGTAAAATTTAAGTCCTTCTCTAATCTAACCAATCATTACATAAGCTCCAGTTTCTCCCAATTATTACACAAGCTCCAGGTAGTCCAGTATCCTGAAGGCATTCATAGTAACACAATGTTTTTAAAAAGGAAGAGTGGGTTTTAAGTGATTCAATCTGCAGTATCAGTTATAGCAACTTTGATAATTGTATTGTGTATTCAACCTCTTCCCTTAACCCTATTTAATTCCTTTTTCAAATCCTACCCCCTCCATAAAGTTTTTTCTAATCACTCTAATTCATTTTTTTTTTTTTGCGGGGGGGGGGGGGGACTTATATACCTTTTAACTTTTCCATCATTTAATTTTACTTCATATGGTACATGCCTTATCTCCTTACTAAAAAGAAATTCCTAATAGGCAATTTTATTTTTCTTTGGGCTACTATTTTCTTTATCAATTTAACCATTGGTGCACATTTAAATATTATTTCCATGTCTTGGTTATGTAAGGCTGCAAACTGGGCATCCAAAAGCAAAAACTGAACCTTAGCCTAAGTCTCACACCTTATATAAAATATTAACTGAAAATGAGTCACTGACTTATAAATACAAACATCAAAAACTGTTAGAATAATTTTTCAGGATCTAGGGAAAGACTTCCTAGAATTAATACCAAAACTGCAATTCATTAAAAAGGAAAATGATAGCCAAAACAGGTTTGGCTCAGTGGTAGAGCGTCGGTCTGTGGACTGAAAGGTCCCAGGTTCGATTCTGGTCAAGGGCATGTACGTTGGTTGCGGGCACATCCCTAGTAGGGGGTGTGCAAGAGGCAGCTGGTCGATGTTTCTCTCTGATCGACATTTCTAGCTCTCTATCTCTCTCCCTCCCTCCTCTCTGTAAAACATCAATAAAATATATTTTAAAAAAAAAGGAAATTGATAAATTGGACTTCATAGAAATTGAAAACATTTGCTCAAGAAAGACCCTGTTAAGAAGATGGAAAGACAAGCTACCACCGAAACCAGTTTGGCTCAGTGGATAGAGCGTCAGCTTGAGGACTGAAAAGTCCCAGGTTAGATTCTGGTCAAGGGCATGTACCCTGGTTGTGGGCACATCCCCAGTAGGTGTTGTGCAGGAGGCAGCTGATCGATGGTTCTCTCTCATTGATGTTTCTAGCTCTCTATCCCTCTACCTTCCTCTCTGTAAAAAATCAATAAAAATATATTAAAAAAAAAAAAAAAAAGACAAGCTACCAAGTAGCAGAAGATATTTGTAACAAGGACTAGTATCTAGGATATATAAAAACTCTCAAACTTTTACAACAAATGAACAACCCAATTAGAAAATGGGCAAATCATGAGATTAAGTTTCTTGATACTGTTTTTCAATGCTACATCCTGTGGTTTTCTGACTTTTCTTATGTTAATGAGAATGGGTATTGAAATCTTCAATTACATGGATTCGCCTAGTTCTCCTTTTGGTTTTGTATTCTGAAGCTTTAGGTTCATACGCACTTAGGACTAGTATGTCCTCCAGATGAGTTAACCCATATATTGACTTCCACTCCAACTTGCTTCTTTTGAGTAGTGTCTGCATGGTACATCCTTTTCCATCCTTTTGCTTTTAATTAGACTATATGTGTCTTCATGTTTAAGTTGTGTTTCTTATAGACTACATAGTTGCATCATGCTTTTTACACAGTTTGTGAACTGCTGCCGGGTCTTGCTTTGTTCATCCAGCCCGAAAATTTATCTTTTCATCATAGGGCTTAAACCATTTTCATATAAGGCTATTATCAACATCACTGGGTTTAAATCTATCTACTGATTCATCTCAAATTATTATTCTCTATGTTAATCATTCTTTCAGTTTCCAACTTACATTTATTTTTCTCCTGTGTATTTCAGCTTGCTCTTCTTGGTATAATTCTTGTCGCACTTGTTCCAAATCTTCACGTTGCTGCAGCATTTGTCCCAATTTCTGAATCATCTATTAAATAAAAACAAAACAAAAAATAATTAGACATTTACAGGTACCAAATCCTGTAACACATACCTCAGAATTTCTCCAGTGTTAAAAAAAAGTGGTTATTTTAATACCATATTCTGAAGCTGTAGCCTTTTTTCTTCATTTTCTTGAATTCTTGCCATCCGATCTTCTTCTCTTTGTTGCTGCAAGTTGGCAAACTCTATGATTTTTCTGTTTTCTTCTTCCATTTCCTCACGTTTCTTTTCTCTCCAGAGAGCCTGTTCTTTCTGAAACTCTTCTATATACCTCCGAGTTGCATTCATTTTTTCTAACCTGTGTTGTCTTTCTCTAAAATGCAATAGTGAGCGCAGTTTTATAGTAACAGAAATAATAAAGTATTGAAAAATATGTGTAATTTTGTTCAGTCAATCTGGGGAAAATGTATAGTGTGTTCATTCATTCATGCAACAAAATATCTTGAATGTCTATTTGCCACTATCTATATAATGGGTATATGTTTTTTCTGAGTAACATACTATTATGCCTTTTCTCTAACCTACTAATGAAGTTTTATGCATCACATTTCAAACACTACAACCTGCTAACATCTGCTTCACAGCACTCTGAAAACAAGTCCTCTGACATACGATATGGGCATATTTAAGACAAACGGGTTATTCATTGTCACTTAATAAACATTTGTTAATTATCAGATAATTATCATGCCAAGAGATAAATAAAAGCTGGTCTCAGTTTATGTAATAACATTATGAGGACTTACTGTGTATCAGACACACTCTTTAGGTGCTTTCCCTCCTCAAGCCTGAGATTAATGTAAATGTTTATGCACATAAAATTCGATTAACTGCCGAAACCCGTTTGGCTCAGTGGTAGAGTGTCAGTCTGCGGACTGAAAGGTCCCAGGTTCGATTCCAGTCGGGCATGTACATTGGTTGCAGGCACATACCCGGTGGGGGGTGTATAGGATGCAGCTGGTTGATGTTTCTCATCGACGTTTCTAGCTCTCTATCTCTCTCCCTTCCTCTCTGTAAAAAAATCAATATATTAAAAAATAAATAAAATAAAATTCGATTAACTTACAATTGGTCTTCTTCATAGATTTTCCTAACAATTTCATCAATCATGAGTTTCTCTTTCAGCAACTGCTCATAAGCTTCCTGCTTTTTTCTCTCTTGGTCTTCAAGTTGTTTCTCTAAGTCAATAAAGTACTGTGCTTTTACTTTATTTCGTCTCTCTTCCGCAGCATTCTCTTCCTTTATTACTCTCTCCTGTTCTTCCATCATGGTTTTCACTATTTCAGCATCACGTTTCTGTTACGAAAACAAAATTCATCTTTCCATTTTCAAATCTGAGCAGTGTGATAAAATATTTTAAAGAGATGTAACTGGATATTATAAAGCCTGTTAAATAAAATACTCTCATCGGCATCAAAAGTCAGTCAGTCACCTGAAGGGTTTGAACGATGAGTCAAACTGTAAAGAGGCTTTCCTATTCCTTCGAGTAGTTCCCTCAGAGCAATACGTAACAAGGAGAGTTATAACTCCACATGTGAAAAGCAGTAAATAAAGTTAGATGTACTCTATTAGTAACTATGTTAACTGCAACACCAAAGCCATCTCTTTCTTCTATTTAATGGTGGCAGTTTTAACCATTTTTAGCTCTGTTGTGCATGTGGAGGGGAAAAAGTGGCTCTGTGGAAGTAACCTCACAGGGTGATGTGATCATGGATTCCTAACTGGGGAAGTCATAGTAGATAGTCATGCCGAGGCTTGTAACTTTTTAGTAAAAGGTTTACCTTTGCCTAAAGTGAACCCTGTCCATTGTTTGTGTTCATCTAGGTTAACAGACCTTTGAAATAAGACAGTAACCACCCTCAACAGAGTACATCATCTCATTAATACCCTGTAATCCAGTCCCCACTCTGCTTTCTTCCACCTCCAAATAATCTTCTTTATGTTCACTCTGTAATTTCAAATGCATAACTGAAGCTACAAAACTTAAGTCTCTGGAGCATTTGAGATTTTGCTCCCCAGCATATGTCATCAAATAAACTCTTAAGAAATCTTCAGGTCTGGACATTGCTTACGTTGATGAGTATCAGATGCTATTTAGATAGAGTAAGGATGGTGCAGGCACACCTCAGAGATACTGAGGGTTCAGTTCAAACCACCACAATAAAGTGAATATTGCCATAAAGTGACGTGTAATTTTTTACCGCCCTAATGATTTGGCTCAGTCGGCCTGCATACTGAAGGGTCCCAGGTTCAATTCTGGGCAAGGACATATACCTTGGTTACGGGTACATCCCCAGTAGGGGGTGTGCAGGAGGCAGCTGATTGATGTTTCTAACTCATCGATGTTTCTAATTATCTCTCTCTCTTCCTCTCGGTAAAAAAAATCAATAAAATATATATTTAAAAAAAATTTTAGAAATATATCCTCACTTGATATTCTTATTGATTTTAGAGAGAGAGGAAGGAGGGGGAGAGAGAAACATTGATGTAAGAGTGAAATACTGATTAGTTGCCTCCTGTATGTTCCCTGACTGGGGACTGAACCCACAAGCCAGATGTGTGTCCCAACTGGGACTTGAACCTGAAACCCTTTTGGTGTATGTGATGATGCTCCAACTGAGCCACCTGGCCGAGGCAACATCTATTTTTATTTGATACCTACACTGTACTGTACCAGTTAAATATTTTAATATCACCCCTCTAATAGTGTGTATGAGTATGTGTGTGTATTGCTATATACAATACATACATGTATGTATATACACATGTTGATATCCACATACATAAAGGTACAGATTTTTGAAAATAAAAAATGGTCTATGATATGTATTATTCTCCAACTTGATTTTTCTTCAACTTTCCCTTTTTCCTTTTAACCTAAAATACATCCAGTATAGTTTTAAAAGCCAGAACATTTACCTCTTTCTCTTTAATATCTATACAACAAGCATGTCAAACTCAAAGGCTAACACAGGCCAAATAAACAAGGTTTAAGTTTATGTGGAATGCACAAAAGCTTCCATTTTCATAGAAATGTAGGTTCATTTCAATAGGTGCATGCTTGAATAATAAGGGCTGAAATAAATGAGTAATCATTAACATAAAATAATACATTTTAATAAAAATTAATATTTTTTCTTAAACATTAACTTACCAGAAACTGAATAACTGCAAAAATAAACATAATGCAAATAAACCTATTTTTCTTGTTCTCCGAAGGCAAAATATTTCCTGTTGCACACACCAAACCAGTCAGTCCAAGACTAATGCAGCAATCGGCTGCTAAAATATTCGCTGCGCGTTAGGCGCATAAGGGAAATGAATGCAACACAATCACAGGCATCGGAGATTAGCAAATGTTGTAGTTCCTTATTAATGATTATGTATAACAGGATATTGTAAAAATTAAGTTACAAAATTTTTATTAAAACGTTTCTTACATACCGTTATATTGGCTGGGTCGCCAAAATACTTGTTGTGGGCCGCATGTGGCCCATTTGGCCTGCCTGCCGGACAGCGTCTTTGGAAAGAGATCTAGGAGAGGGAACTCTACCACCGAAATGCTCTCCGCCTTAACAGCGCAGTGCGAGGAGAGAAATGTAAAGGCTGTGTAATGCGTAATGTGGAACAAACCGTCCCGTCTGTGTCCTGCCTTTCTTTGTGACAGCGAGAGATCAGTGAGTGTCAACTCAATAAACTCTCTCTTCTTTTGGTGAGTGTGTTTGAAACTCCTTTGCCCAAGAGTAACTCTTCCCCTGAACTTGGCAGGATGTCAGGACGTAGAAAAGGGGATAAAGTAGAGGGAAACATGGTAAGACGTGATTGCTGCTTATAATACAGAAAAGTTTACCTAAAATTATAAAATGGTTTATTTTTTAGAATATCTTAAAAATGAAAAATTAATAACACAATGTAAATTATGCTAACAACTTGCACTGTATTGGTTTGTCAAAGAATAATTGGTTAGAGACCATAAAGAATGCTGGAGTTTTTGAATAGAGCCGTTCATTCTAAGCAGCAACCTAATCCTTTATGTCTCTGAAAGGCTCTAATATTAAATTAAACAAGGCTCAATATTAAATAACCCATGATTTCCTATACTTGAAAGATCTGAAAAATAAAAAGTATTTGAGAAATGTAGCACCGTAAATTCTTTCTAATATGTAACAATTTTCAAAAAACTATTTTAATGAACCCAAAAATACAGAGAAGAGAATGGACAGAAACATGCTTACCATTTCTTCATATTTAATGGCATGCTTCTCAGCAATCTGAGCTGCCCTTTCTTTATTCATGTAAGCTGCTTTTAATTTCTTCTCCAATTCTCTGATCTCAATACTGTTTTTAAAAACAAACAGAAATTTAAATTTGAGGAAGATTACCATAAACATAACCTATATCTGAAATTTAAAACAATTTTTATCTAAATGGGTGAAGTATATTTACATTATAGTAGGTTCTTGGGTTGACTAGGAGATTCGTTCCTACAGCACTACATAATGCGATTTTCGCCGTAAGTCAGAACCCACCTACATAAGCATCTCCGTCACTCACATGGAGCACATACACAGCAATAATGAAATGAAACAGTAAAAAAAAAATTTAAAGAAATATAACAATTCCTGACCTTGTGGTAAATAAATAATAAAAAACAAAAAGCATATATGTACATACATCAAAATGACAGAAAATAAATGGGAGATGGCGTCGTAATCATGAAACTACATACGTCGAGTCCAACGTAATTACAGGACTGCCTGTATTATTTAAATACTACAGGCCCGATGCACAGGCCTTGGCCCCAGCCCCCACCTGCCGCTGCCACATGGGGTGGAGTGGGGGGAGGCCTCTGCTGCCTCTGCCTCAGCCCACTGCGGCTTTGTCCGGAAGGAAGGACTTTGTCCGGAAGGAAGGACGTCGGATCTAATTAGCAAAGTAAACAAATGAGACATCAACTAAAAAGTTTTTGCACAGCAAAGAGAACCCTCAACAACATGAAAAGGCAGCCGATTGAATGGGAGAAAATTTTCACCAATGATACATCTGATAAACAATTAAAATCCAAAATAATTGTAACTCATACAGCTTAATATAAAGTAATTTGATTAAAAATGGGTAGAGAACCTGAATTGACATTTCTCCAAAGAGGACATACAGATGGCCAACAGACATTAAAAAAGTGCTCAACATCACTAATCATCAGGAAAATGTAAGTTAAAATCAAAATACAAACACCTCACAACTGTCAGAATGGCTATCATCAATAAATCAACAAACAACACTGGTGAGGATGTAGAAAAAAGGGAACCCTGTGCACTGTTGGCAGAATTAAACATTGCTGCAGCCACCTTGGTTGGTGTGGCTCAGTTGATCTGACATTGTCCCAGGCACCCAAAGGTTGGTGGTTCAATTCCCGGTCAGGGCACATGCCCAGGTAGCAGGCTTGAACCCTGATGGGGGAATGCAGGAAGCAGCCGAACAGTGTCTCTTTCACATCGATGTTTCTCTCTCTAAAAAAATCAATAAAAACCTTAAAAAAAAAAAAAAAATACAGCCACTATGGAAACAAATATGGAGGTTCTTCAAAAAGTTAAAAATTGAACTACCATAAGACACAGCAATTCCACTGATGGGTATTTTATCTGAAGAAATCTAAAACACTAGGTTGAAAAGAGGTATGCACCTCTGTGTTCATTATTTACAATAGTTAAGATACGGAAGCAACCTAGGTGTCCCTCGATAGATGAATGGATAAAGAACATGTGGTACATATAGATCATGATATATTACTCAGCCACAAAATGAAATAAGTCAGAAAAAGACTAATACCATATGATTTCACTTATATGTGGTATCTAAAAAAACAAAATAAATCAGCAAACAAAACAGAAACAAACTCGGATACAGAGAACAAACTGGTTGGTTGCCAGATGGAGGGGGAGGGTTGGGGTGGGTGGTAAAACTGGTGAAAGGATTAAGAAGTACAAATTTTCAGTTATAGAAAGTCATGGGGATATAAAGTACAACATAAGGAATATGGTACTAAACTTATTAGGGCGATCACTTCATAAATTATAATGTCTAATCACTATGATGTACATGTGAAACTAATATTATATATATATATAAAACCCTAAGCAACCGTTATGACCAGTCGACTATCGTTATGACGTGCACTGGCCACCAGAGGGCAGACGCCCAACTCAGGAGCTGCCCCCTGTTGGTCACTGCGCTCCCACAGCCAACTTCCTGCAGCCAGACAACCTCCCAGAGTCCCTCCCCTCAGAGTGGGTGAGATGGCGCCAAATGGCCCCAATCACCGGCCAGGCCGAGGGCCCACCCATGCATGAATTTGTGCACCGGGCCTCTAGTATATCAACTGTAATTGAAAAATAAAATAAAAATTTTTATAGTTTTGTCTGAGTTTTTGTTTTTTTTTTGCTTAATTCCTTAACCTTTTTTCTCCCAGCCCCTTCAAACCCTATGTCATTCTTTTATAAGATGAAATTTAAAAAAAAGGACTTTCTTGGCTTATTTAACTCCATGTATTTACTTCCTACCTCAATTTTGTTATAATTTATTATACTTTTAACTCTATACATATATTAAATTCCAAAAGACACAAGTGATTTACACAATCAAATTTCACTTAGATTTAACTTCCTGAAATTCTGAAATTAATGTTGGGTTCATCTCCATTCTTCTACCTGAAGAATTTATAGTATTTCTTTCAAGGCAGGGCTACTGTGATCAATTCTGCTGAAATTATTTTTTATTCATATCACAGACTTAATTTTAATCAACATACCGATGATGAGTCTGGAATATAACTGTATTGGCATCAGCAAGGAACAGGTTATACATTTAATAAGGGAAGACTATATCTTTTCTTTGAGCTTGTTTTTCACTGAAGTGAAATACAAATTATGTATGAGGTATTGATTTTGCTTTCATAGACAATTTGTTTTCTATATAATAAATATATTGTTGCTAATTATGCAATAATTGTAAGTTTTATAATTAATTGTGCCATACAATTAATGAATTTAATAATCATTCTAAATATAAATAATAACTAATTAATTATAATTATTCATTAAATTGTACTATACTTAACATAAGTTTTCTAAAAATGGGTATTGAGTTTCCCAACTCCACTTAAAAACAATAAAATAAATTGTCTTATAAATATTTTCTTGGGTAAAAAAATGATGTGTTCAAAATCAAATAAAAGTCTCAGGACTTCTGAACTTATTTTCTAAATAAATTTCAATCATTTAAAAAAATTTGCTCTGTATTTAAAAATTTAAAAAATTTTTTTAATGTAAGCAGCTGAATCTTAATATAGGTACTTTGGATTACTTTGGATACATTTTAAGTACCACAGCAATCATTTTCTTAGACTTCCAGTTTGCAACTGAACATACTCATTAGGAAAATGGTCTGTTTCTGCATGTCAGTCAAAATTTTACCATGGCTCATGCACAAAATAAGACATTCTCGGCAGTTTTGCACTGCTGAGAGGCAGCATACTCTATTGGAAAGAATGCTCAACTGAATTACTTTTGCCTTAAATCAGAAGAAATTTTTCACAAGGTATAGAATTTTGGATGGACTATTATTTTCTTTCATCTCTTTAAATACATTTTCAGCTCTTTAAATCTTCTAGTTTCTACTATTGCTGCTGAAAATTCAATCATACTTTTTATTGTTGCTCCTTTGAAATCTTTCTTGTGTGCTACTTTTGTTATTTTTATTATTTTCTCTACTGTTGAATTTCAGAAGTTTGACTATGATGAATATGAATGTAGTTTTCATTATATATTAGAGAGCTGTGCATGAAATTCGTGCATAGGTAGTAGGGGCCCTAGGCCTGGCTGGCAATCAGGGCTGATCTGTGGGGTGATCAGGTGGCCCTGGCTCACCCCTGCCTTGGCTGGCCTGACACCATCCACTCGCCAGCCCCACCCTCCATCCCCCACTGGTAGGGGCCTGTGGGTTGAGGGCAGCTCCTACATTGAACATCTGCCCCCTAATGATCAGTGTGCATCATAGCAACTATTTGTTCCACTGGTGGTTCTGCTGTTCGGTCGATTTGCATAATAGGGTTTTATATTGATAGACTGCATTTTAACCTGTGGCTTTATATCTTTTATCATTTTTGGAAATCCTTGGCCTCTCCAAATACTGTTCTGCATCTTCCTCTTTCATGTCTCCTACCAGCACTAAAATTATACATCTGTTAGAACTTTTCACTATATCCCAAATCTCTTTGAAGTTCCCTAGTATATTTTTCTATCCTTTTTCTCTCTGTGCTTTATATTCTAGATATTTTCCACTAATCTGAAACACTTTATCTCTTCATCTGTTTCAATCAATCTAACTGAATTCTTATTATTGAAGTAAAACACACACTAAAGTGCACAAATCTGAAGCATACAACTTGTAGAATGATGTCAAACACCTGTCCATCTGCTAATAGTTAAGCTCTGCTTCACTTAACTCTCACCCATAGTTTTGGAATCAGCAGGTTACAAACTCCCAGCTCACCATTCTGGTTTCCTTCCTCTCCAGATCTCACTGTTAACACTTTCTCCAGACAGCCTCTTCTCAGAAGGAGCATTTATCTGCATCACCTAGTCTACAATTACTAGAAGTGGGAAGCTCCTCTCTTTAAATCTTATATCGGTGAATTAGACAAGACATGTCGCATAATAGAAAACCATGAGCGATAGCTTATGATGATTTGAGAATTAAGGTCCAAAAAGATAGTTTGAGACTAGAACAATATGAAGACATTAGCAATAATTTTAAATCATTTTTTAACCATTAATAACCCCTTAGAGAATTTAAAAGTCGTGGCCCTACAAAAATATACATGGATTTATTTGCCAAATATATAATTTTAATGAGGCTCAAAACCCCTGAAGCTCATTCATGGGTCCCATCATATTCTACAGAAACCCTCTTGGTCAAAGTACATTTCTACTATATTCAACTATATAAGTACATGAGCATTTAGTTAGCCCTGAGTTTTCATCAAGGGTGACATGGATACCCCTCAAAAGCAACTCGATCTTAGACAAGAAACATATTCTAGAACAATCCCACTATTAGGGGTACTACCCAATACTCTGGAGATGCCGGCACCGGTTTGGCTCAGTGGATGGAGCGTCAGCCTGTGGACTGAGGGGTCTGGGGTTCGATTCCAGTCAAGGGCGTGTACCTTGGTTGCGGGCACATCCCCAGTAGGGGGTGTGCAGGAGGCAGCTGGTCCATGATTCTCTCTCATTGTCGTTTCTAACTCTCTATCCCTCTCTCTTCCTCTCTGTGAAAAATCAATAAAATATATTTTTAAAAAAAAATACCCTGGAGAAAGTGCAATGATACCAAGAAAAAAATTGTGGTGACAATATTTTGTTAAGAAACACCAATAATCTAAATTAGATTTTCAGAGGAGAACCTAGAAGTGGAACAAATTAAGGAATGAAGGATATCTAAGTTACAGAAGAAAACATTTAGTGGACTCATAAATATGAAAGGATGTCCTCAAGAAAAACTAATTCCGCCCCCCCCCCCCCCCCCCCGCCCCCGTCAGATAGCAAAAGTGAGATAAGCACATGAAAGTTACAGGGAAATCAATTTTGAGACAGCTGGGGGAAAGGTTATTCAAAGTTAGGACCTGCATGAAAAAAAAAAGTTCCTATCACAGTCACCAGAGGTGTTGATCACAAATGACCAACCGCTTTCCAGAAATACTGTAGGAAGTTTATGTGGGAGTATAATTCCATGAGTCTATTTTTTTTTTTAAATAGGTCATTTAAAAAAATATGTTTAGAGGAAAGAGCAAAGGAAATTGATTTCTTTTTACCACCTTAAATATTAACACCTTACTTAGCTTCTTTTCTCAAATGAATATATATATAGGATATAAAGCAGTAAGTATTTCCAGGCAAAATGTTAACTAAGTGCAATGATATAAAGAAGTAAGTTTCACTCTCGGGTACTAAGCATTACACAGAAGTTTACAGAGAAAGACTAACTGCATGGCATTTATAGAAACCAAGATACCTGTTTTCTTTTACTTGTTGCCTTAGCTTTTCATCCTTCAGACTTTCGTGTTTTAGTTTTGCCAGTTCCACAGCCAGTTTTTCTTCCTGTTCATACTGGAGTTCTTTCAATCTTCTGTTTTCTTCTGACTGAATAAGAACAAAATAAAACAAGGCACATAACTTTAGTTATTTATCTTCCAGAATCAGTTTTGTTTTGTTTTTCATAAAGGCTGAATTTACTTGTTTATAACAGTAAAGTGCAAGTGCCTTCAGAGCCAACCTCCCACAGTTCCTCCTCAGCTGCCATGGTTTGAAGGGCCCATGTGGAGTGAGCGGGGTCCCTCTGGCAGATGGGGTCCTTCCGCCTGGCCTGTGGGGGATCGGGCTGAAATCGGCAGTCCAACAACCCGAGGGGGTCTCGGAGTGCGAGAGGACACTCTACAAAGTTGCTGTCGCTTGGCAGCTCCTGCGTTGAGCGTCTGCCCCCGGTGGTCAGTGCACATCATAGCTACTGGCCAGTTGGCTGGCGGCTTAGCCTTTTATATAGATAGATAGATAGATAGATAGATAGATAGATAGATAGATAGATAGGACTACAAATTAAAGACAACAAAGAGGAAGTAAACAGATAAATTCAGAATGTGGGATATCATACACAACAACTGGCCTAGTTAATAACAATTGAGAAACATGAAGTTAAAAAAATTAAAGAGCCCTGGTTAGAGCATCAGCCCACATACCAAAGGGTCACAAGTTTGATTCCAAGTCAAAGACAAGTACCTGGATTGCAGGTTTGCTCCCATCCTGGTCAGAGTGTGCTGGAGGCCACAGGTCACATCTCTCTTTGTCTCCCTCTCTCCTACTCTCTCTTTAAAAGTCAATATAAATACAGAGGGGAGGGTAAGGAGATCTGGGGGAGATAATAGATCAACCGAAGGACTTGTATACATGCATATAAGTACAACCAATGGACACAAAACTCTGGGGAGGGAGGGTACATATGGGAAGGGGGAGCAATGTTAAAATATGTACACAGATAATAATGTAATTAAAAAATGTAAAAAAAAAATACATAGGAGAATAATCCCACCAAATGTTATTAAAAGTTATTGTTTTCCTTCTAAAAAAAAAAAAAAAAAAAAGTCAATGTAAAAAATATCTTCCAGTGAGAATTAACCAACAACAATAAAAAATTAAGGATGATGCAAGAGCTGTCTTAGATTAAGAGTGATCTAACAGACAAATATACTGCAAGAACCTTGTTTAGACCCTGATTAAAACAAACCAACTGAAAAAGCAGATTCCTGACATAATCACAGAAATGTGCTTATGAAATGATACCTAGAAGTTATTGATAATTCTATTGGGTGAGATAGTGGCACTATGTAAGAAAATATTTTATAAGATGCCTACTGAAGTATGCAGAAGATAGTTGATAGGATATTTGGGATCATCTTTAAAGAAAAATAAGAATAAAAGGAATAAGAAAAAAAGCTAAACCCAGAGATCTTGCTCAGTGTTAGAAAAAAAAAAAAAAATCATGTCTAAATTTCTGGAATTTGGAACTTAGAGAGATAGTTACCACTTTTAATTAAAAAGAAAAAAAGAAAAAGCTTGCTTTTTTGTCCCATGATGTTGTGACAAAATGTTGAACATAAAACAGGCACTCAAAAAACACTGAAATGTCAGGATACTTTTTTCACATTTATGAGAACTCATTTTTTTTCTTATTGGCTTCCCTTTTTCTACCACCCTCATCCTTTTAAACATTTAGAAATTTCCACTGTATTTTAGGAGATATAAATTGTACCCGAATTCTTCAAGGCAGTATTTAAAAATACGAGTAAATTCATACTTAATATGTAAGTGTTCATTTTCTGCCTCTTAATGTTTAATATCAGTAAGTTCAAAAGGTATTAAATGTTTGTCTTTATAACTTTACTAGAGGCCCCGGGCACGAAATTCGTGCATTTTGGGGTGGGGGGTTGTTCCTCAGCCCAGCCTGTACCCTCTCCAATCTGGGACCCCTCGAGGACTGCTGGCTCCCAACTGCTCCCCTGCCTGCCTTCCTGATTGTCCCTAACTGCTGCTGCCTGCCAGCCTGATCACCCCTAACCACTCCCCTGCCAGCCTGATTGATGTCTAGCTGCTCCCCTGCCAGCCTGGGCACCCCTAACTGCCCTCCCCTGCAGGGTTGATTGCCCCCAACTGTCCTCCCTTGCAGGCCTGGTACCTCCCAACTGCCCTCCCCTGCTGGCCATCTTGTGGCGGCCATCTTGTGTCCACCTAGGGGCAGGATGTTTGACCACATGGGGTCAGCCATCTTGTGTGTTGGAGTGATGATCAATTTACATATAACTCTTTTATTAGACAGGATGGAAGGCAACAGAACTGTATTTATGTGAACAAAACTGTTGACATTAGTAATTATGGATATCATATTTATAAAAAAAAAATAAAAAAAACACCTGAGTGCTAACTTTGTTCTAGGCACTATATCGCAAGGGCTTTGCATGTATTAACTCATTAATCATTAAAACAATCATACAAAGTAGGTACTATTATTATTCCCATTTTATAAATGAGGCATAAAAATTAAAAGCAACCCACCCAAGGTTCCACAACTAATATACAGGAATCCTAGGATTCAAAGACACATATAATCTAGCTCCAAAATCCCAGCTATGAACCAACACACTGGGCTGACTTACTTCGAGGCATCCCATGTCTGATGCTGTTGTCTATCTATTCAATTCCAGAATGAATGGTTAGCTTTCATCATTTCCAAGGAGAAAATGAAGAGGGAAAATGGTGTAAGAATGAATAACAGAATTTACCTTTTGAATGGCCTCTTCCACATCCAACTCAAATTGTTCATCCTGTAATATCCTGAGGAATCTCTTGTGATCAGCTCGATCATCATTTTTATTCCGCACAATTTGGTCCCTGATTTGAGTCTCTATCCTTTTTAGAGCATTAATGTGCAACATTTGTTTGTAGTTTCTATCTACTAATTGCTGGTGCCTTTCATTGAAGCTCAAAGTCCTTTTGGAAGTCTATAACACAAAAATAAAAAATATATAAAAGTATGCATATTTTGGTGTTGCAAAATCTAAATTTTTGAAAATATATTTATGTAACCCTCAGGAACAAAAGAAACAAAGATAGGTAACAGTAATTAAAAAAAAAAATGGGGAGGCTTTGGCTTCCTTCTTAATTCAGAGGGATAATAAAAGTGTAAATGTGCTAGAAATCTATCAAGAAAGTAGGTACTATTATTCCCCACTTTACAGATGAGGTGTCAAAAGTAAAAGCAACTTTACAAGGTCCTTCAGTGAACGGGTGTACTAGGATTCAAAGACAGGCAGTTGAGCTCCATACACCCAGCGCAGGGCTGACTGCTCCGCAGGGAATTCCTCTCCTCACCCTCCTTCCCTTCCCTGCCCCCGACCTCGCCCCTCCTCCAGCCTGGCCATAAAGCGCTGTTCTCAAGCCCGTCCGGCGTCCCTAATATAGATTTAACGGGTCCACCCGCTGCTACTTACATGGGAAATAAGGTTTTTACCGGGCAGATCTAATAGAAAGTGCAAAACAAGCTGGAAGCTACCGCGCACCGGAACGCAAATGCAACTTCCCCACTAGTTGTCGGACCCGGCTTTTCAAATCCTTTTTTGGAAGCAGGCCAGCTCTAAACGACCGCTCCATCGACAAGTCAACTAGTGGTGTGGAGACCTTCCCGCCGGCCCCCCCTGCTCACCATCTTGGCGAAGGAAGATCCCCGGCTTCAGGGAGCCACAATCTCCCCGCGGCAGACGCAAACACCCGCGGCGCTCTCTGGTGTTGACGCGGTTTCCCGGCAACGGCCACGACCTGACCAAGGCGCGGCCTCCCATTGGGCGAGAAGGACCCAATCAGCGGTGAGGTTCTTGGGAGGCTGGCTCCTCCTATAGGCCTAAAGGGAGGCGGCGGGAAGTTCAGATTCTGGTGCGGAGGCCGTCGGCCCCTTTGGCGCTCGGTCAGCGAGCTCACGGTTTCCCTCCGCGGCGAACGTCTGGGGGGTTAGGAGCCAGGCTGAGGGAACTTTTCACATGGAAATGCACAAAATCCTGCCGAAAACGGTTTGGCTCAGTGGGTAGAGCGTCGGCCTGTGGAAAGGTCCCAGGTTCGATTCCGGTCAAGGGCATGTACCTTGGTTGCGGGCAGTAGGTGTTGTGCAGGAGGCAGCTGAGAGATGTTTCTCTCTCATCGATGTTTCTAACTCTCTATCTCTCTTCCTTCCTCTCTGTAAAAAAAAAAAAAAAAAAAAAAATATATATATATATATATATATATATATATATATATATATATATATATATATATATATATATGGTATGTACCACATGGATATTACTCTAATGTGTAATACATGGTTCTGATACCAATGAGAGAAAAATAAAGATGATCACAGGAGGTAGGTCTGCTTTATTTCATCAGCAGGTTAAAGGAAAAGTCCATTTTAAATGAAAGAACTTAAGGACAGGAATGGGTCAGAGAAATTAGTCAAATATTGGTTTTAGAGATAACATTTTTAGACAAATATAAAATCTCAACAACAACAAAATTAAGGTAGTAGGTGCAAGCACCTGACTTAGTTTGTGTTGTCTACCTGAAAGTCCATCTGGTGTAGCACTATCTCTGCTTAAAGATTAATAACAAAAAAGCAACCACAAAAAAGACTTCTGGTTTCAGCCTCAAAATTTTAAAAGCTTGGAAGTCATTGTCTTCATCCTTACTACCAGAAAAAAGCTGAATAAACATTAATTCTTTTTCTTGGACAAATTATAGAACCCAGGTCCCAGGACAGCAATCTGGAGAGAGGTAAAATCAAGGAGTCACGTCCAAAACCTAATTGCCTGGAGCAGAAGCCACTGGAGCCATAAACTACTAACAATTAAGTGGTAATTTTGATGGAATGGTAAAGGCTAAGCGTGGAGGAGGGTCAGTGGAACCAGGAGGGCCTGCAGTGTTAGGGAGGCCTCCACACTTCCATGGGTTTCGCCTCCAGGAATCCCGGCAGGTTCTCACAGTGAAAAACCAAGGAAGATCTCCTCTGGGATGAGAAGAATCATTGTGAAATATGTCTAGAACCTTCTACATAATAAAGGCCACTATCCAGAGGAAACTATTTACCACATCCCTATCCCACCTGGGACACTCCTCCAGCCTCCCTGTCTCACCTAATGGAGAGAAAGAAGCTACGAAACACCTGTGAAGGTCACAGCCCTACAAATAGAGATTTAATCATAAAATTGTAAAAGCTTTCCCTTTTCCACGCTTTACCACCGCACCCACAGTGCTCCCGTGTAATAACAGTGGATTACAGCTGGGAGTGCTGCAAAACACACACTAATGAGAAATTCCTAGGAAAATCCACAGACAACAGGAGACAAAAACAAAACACTAGAGGAATCTGAAGCCTCTGGCACCTACAGATACAGCAAACATTAAACGCAGCCCAACCTCTAGCAATGTTATAAAAAACCTCACACCTCACTAAAGCCTTATTTACTTCAGTTCCTGTTACCTAATATACTAGGTCCAGTTTTCAACAAAAGTCTACAAGACGAAAGGCAAGCTGCTAAAAGGCAAGAAAAACACAGTCTGGCAGACAAAGTTAAGCATCAGAACTACACTCAGCTTTGACACAGATTTCTTGGGTAGTAAACAGGAATTTAAAATAACTGATTAATTTTTGCAGAGTGCTGATGGAAAATGTGGACAGCATGCAATAACGGATAGGTAAGATAAGCAGAGAGATGGACACTCTAAGAAAGAACCTAGAAGAAATTCTAGGAATCAAAAACACTTAGCAAATGATGACTGCCTTTGACATAAGCCTATTAGTAGACTGGATACCCCTGAGGAAAGAATCAGGGAGCTTGAAGATTTGTCAATAGAACTTCCCAAACTGAAATGCAAAAAGATTGACTGAAAAAAAAGATAACTCCTATGGGTTTGGATACCTCATCTTTGTGTCTAAAATATCTTTCCATAAATAGCACATTTAGATGTTGTTGGATGTTATTTTTTTATTCAATCTGACATCTGTCTTTTAATTGTTATACTTATGACATTTACATATTATTGATAAGGGTGCATTAAAATTTATATTTTGCTAATTTTAAAATTTGTTATACCTGTTCATTGTTCCTTTTCTCTTTGTTTTCTGTCTTTATATTTTTTGTGATTCCATTTTATTTTCACTATCAATTTATTACTTATACCTCATTATGTTTAGTAATGGCCCCAAGGTTTAATATGTATATTTAAATATTCAAATACTACAATTCTGTCTCATTTGTTGTGTATAAACCTTACAACAGTATGATTCTAATTCCTCTATCCCATATTTTGTGCTATTGTTATCATATTTTACTTTTACATATATAAATCTACAATATGTTTCCACATAGATTAGATGGTTTGATGTTGCCTCAATGCTCTCAAATACTGTGGGGTTTTTTCTTTATCTTTCTTTAATCTTTTTCTCCTTATATTTCTGCTTGGGTAATTTTTATTGCTATATTTTCAAATTCAATGACTTCTTCCTGAGCTGTAAGTCTTCTGTGGAGCTTGTCAAAAGCATTCTTCAAGTTCATTACTGTTTCGGTTTTTATCTAATATTTTCATTTAACTTTTTCTTATAGTTTCCATCTTCTCATAAAAATTACCCATCTTTTCATATATTGTCTGCCTTTTCATTAGAGGCTTTAATTATATTGATAATAGTATTTAAAATTTCCTGAGAGTTTCACCACCTGGGTCATATATGAATTTTAACTGATAGTTTCATATTTATACAGTCTTTACAAATGTTACAATTCTTTTTTCATTTTTATGGATCTCATTTTTTTTATTAAATGCCATACATAATGTAGAAGACAATAGAGACGAAGATAAATCATATTTATGCCTGGAAATAAGAACACCTGTCCTTCTGCTACAACATTAGTGTAGGAGGCTGAGGCAGTATAGCAGGAGGTGAACTGCATTTGAGCTTGGTTGTTACTATGGTTACCGTCAGTGCTCCACTATCTTCAGCTTTTTTTGTTTTTTTAGCATTAGTTTGTATGGGCTGGTTTTCCAGAAGGCTTCTCCTAATGTCCGTGATTCGCCCCTCGCATTAGGCTTTCCCCATGTTCCTGCACATTGGAAAGTGTCTCTCTCCACACCCTGGCTCCTGCCTCCAGGAGTAGATCCCTGTCCTTTGTTGCTCATGCTTGCTGGCCAGGTGGTCAGAGGAGGAGGAGGTTTCTCTTTTGTTCTGGTTCAGTCTCAGCATTAGGTCAGCTAGCTGTGAAGGGTATCATAAATTGGAAATTTTTTTCTTAATAGTAAGTATTCACTGTCCCCAGCTCTTAACCTGATCTGTAAAGGTTTATATGTCTACTTCAAGTTTCTTCTTCAAACTTTAGCCACAGTAGACTTCTTTGAGCTCCTTCCTACCAGAGGGCCTTTGTATGTGTGCGTCTCCACCTGTAATAAGACCGAAACTCCAGCAGCCACATAGTTGATGAGCTAGCACATGCTCTAGACAGTAGAGGAGAGAAATAGAAGGAGCTGTGATATTTTTATGACCAAAGAGCTACTATACCAGCCCTGCCTAATTCTTGACCTCATGCTAAATGAAAGAAAAACAAACAACTGAACTAAGCCTCTAAGTCCTGTTTTCACCCAGAATTATATTACTGTTAAACAAATGCAATTCCTAACTGAAATCCATTTAATCTAATGGGTTAAAGTGAGTAAACACACACACACTTTATCACTGTTTCATTTTGAAGGGTAGTAGGCAGAGTGGAGATTCTCTGATTTCCTTTCTCCTATTTTCCTCTCCTCTTTTTATCTTCAGGAAGCTTCTGGCCAGTTTTTCCCTTCCTTTAATCTATGTACTCTTAGAGATAAAAACTCTAAATTATTGGTTTTGAATTATTGGTTTTGTTTTCCAAAATATCCATGCAACATGCCTGTCTAGTAATTTGATCAACTCCAGGGTCAGAGATAAAAACATAGACTAAGCCTGGGTGGCTGCAGAGCCCTGGCCTCCACCATGAGACTCTCTTCGCCACTATAATCATACCAACATCCTTTGAGCATGATCACTCAACTAGTTACCAATGCACCAGGGTTACTAGTATACTACCAACATTTCTATATCTTTTCTGTAAGAATTTACTGGGAGAATTCCCCAAAAGGCTTCACTAAACTAGAGATCCATTATGATTACTTTATTTCCCTTAATAGCTTAACACAATTCAATTGATTACTTGACAGCCACATGACAATTGTTTTGGTTGAATAAATTCAGGTCAACATTATTTACCTCAAATGCTCACAGATAAATAAATAGAAATGTTTTTAAAACATGAACAGGTCATAAATGTGACCATTAAATGTTTAGTTACTTGGTAAAAGTAAATTCTATCATCTACAATGAACTTCTAAATCACACCGATATATCTTTGCAAGGAAATATTTGTAATTTAAAGCTAGCTAATCAAATACACAAAGTATTTCACTCATCAATACATAAATTATCTATTAAGTCAGGCTCTTACATAATCAATACCACTTGCTTCTTAAAACACCCAGTATTTCAGAACCCCACACAGAGTAAGCAATAGTTTAAATGCATTACATCTCTTGTAGCAATATTTTTGCTGATGTATCTCCTAGGGCAAGGGAAATAAAGGAAAAACTAAACAAATGGAACTACAT